CTGGTAAGAAAATGTACTTCTAGGTTTTTATTTGATAATCACGATTATTACAACTAAATACAACTGAAATAGATAAGGACCGTTAATCATGATCGTCCTGGTGAACGTAGTCCTGAAAAGGACTGTTGTTGACAGTGACTGACGTTTCGACAACCTGTGCGGTTGTCATCTTAAGAGTCAAAGTGAGTTGTATCACGTCAGTTCATGTTATTAAACTCTGGTTATTGACCTATCTGATTGATCAATTAAGTCGCGATGTTATGGATCGTCTATCAGTTTGATGTTATTGGCTGTTAACACTCCAAATGTCATCGGTGCGTTTCGATCCGTCTTGTGTCACAGTTTAAAGGTCGTCTACTATCACGTGCAGAAAATTGATCTTCGTCTGCCAAATTTGTGAACAAAAATATTTACTGGAAATGTTGATTTTTGGGGAGAAGAAAAAACTGGATTACTTGAAAAAAAAAAAAAGAGCTCCCGAAACAAGGACGAGAGCCAGCAGTGAACTCTGCCCTTAAAACGCGTCACCTTTGGGGTTTGAACCCCGGCCGTCACTTCAAATGTATCACAAGAGAAATTTGGGGCAGAGCATGTGAAATAAAACCCACAAATCAACCTTTAATTTCATACTTGATTTTATTTGTAATGATTTATCATATTTTTTGTGCATTCTATTGTTTAAAATATCCTTTCAAATACCGTCAAACCCCGCTTTATGGACACCCACTTAACCCTTTAAGCCCTAATATACAGGTACAAATTCTCCAAAGTGATCTACATACATTTCCTTTCATCCTCGGAGACCCAGGGGCAGATAGTGGGGGCGAGGGAAAGTCTAAACGGGCGGAAAAATATGGCACGAAGAAAAGTAAAGAATGGCGAGAAGAGCCCCTGGGGACAATGTCTTACCAGACCAGTTCCAAACGGTCGCCGCTGTTCTGGCTTCTGATTGGTGGCAGAAAACTTGTGTTTTTCTGGCACCAATCAGAAGCCAAAACGGCGGCGACCGTCTGGAACTGGTCTGGTAAGACATTGTCCCCAGGGGCTCTTCTCGCCGTACTTTCCCTCGCCCCCACTATCTGCCCTTGGGTCTCCGAGGATGATTTCCTTTAAGAATTAGTCGAGAGAATTTAATGAAAGATCAAGGCATTTTCTCGTTAGTGATCATTTTATTAATTCTCCTAACCTTATCTCTTGAAAATGTATGGATAATGTTAGGAGAAAATTGATGTTGGTCACTAATAATACAGAAACCTTATCATTACGGACAGTTTGCTTTGCTTCTCAGTAGAGAAAGTCCTTACATTTTCTGTTAAGTCTACCCACTTAATTTGGACATTTTCTTTGGCCCCACCAGTGTCCGTATCAACGGAGTTTGACAGTACGATCGGTTTTTTTTTTAAATCCTAACATGTTCACTTAATCTTTTACTAGGCTGATTTAGCAACAGAACGGGAACGTCAGTCTACGACGGCTCTCGCAAATCAAACAACTGGCTTGACCAATGGCAGAGCGGCAAATTGAGCTCCGGAAGTCGTGTTTAGTCCTTTCCGTATGCTTTCCCGTCGTCAACTGACGTTCCTGTCCTGTTGCTAAATCAGCCTACTATATGTACTAAGGCTGCTCTCATTATTTCAGCTGCTGCTGTTGAGGATTCTTGCTCCAAAATTAACTGCAGTAATCCCTTTGCAACCTGTGAAGTGGTAAATGGGACGGCAACATGTGTTTGCCCTGTGATCAACACACTGGAATACTTTCCTGTATGCGGATCAGACGGAGTGACCTACCCGAACACAGGTGCCTTGAATATTGCTAGCTGTAACAGCGGAGGCGCCGTCAAAAAGGTCGAGGATGGAGAATGTAAGTATTAAACTTGGCTAAACTGTAAACTGTAATTTGTTTACCCACGAAGCACTTAGGAATTCTTAAGAACTCTTTGAATGTATCCTTGCGTTCCAGAATTAATTGGAATTCGGAAGTGTTGGTTTTTGAGGAGAGGAAAAAACCGGATTACCGGAGTAAAACCTCTCGGAGCAAAGGAGAGTTCAAACAACAAAAAACAAACTCAACCCACATATGGCGTGAACTCCAGGTCTCGAACCCGAGCGACAGTGATGCCACTCAGGGTTGTCATGGTTTCATGGTTATGCATTGCATCAGCTGCAGTGTGTGACTCTGCCATCCTGTCCCCCCACGCTCATCTTTGTTGAGGAGTTTGATAGGCCTTTGTGGTTACACCATTGGCCAGTTTAGTGTCGTATTCAGGGAGGATCGTGGCATGAGCTGCATTTGCTAAGCTTCAATTTTCAACAATTTGTATGATACTAACATTTGCACGCGAACGGCGGAGTTCTGAAGTTGGCTTTAATGTGGCTTAGCTAGTTTACGTATGTGTTGTCGCAATAGCCTACTTTACATTTGTTTCAAATCAAAATTGCCATTAAAAGTTCCTTTGATTGCAGTAGAGGAATTTTAAGCCATTATTTTAAGGTTTTCTTTGATTCCAATGTGTTTTCTGGATTATAAAGTAGTGCCAACAAGTCCATGCCTGGAGTGAAGCGACGGATACGTTTGCGTTCAAACGCTAATCAAATTGTAGTATAGCTACAATAGTTTACAGGGATAGTGCATGGTATGACTGTGACATGATTGTTGTTTGGTTAACCTGTGTGTTTCAGGTTCCAAGCTATTTGACCCATGTGCCATCAGCTTTTGCAGTCACAAGCGTCACAGATGTGAGCTCCAAAATGGTACAGCTGTGTGTATTTGTAACACGGCTTGCACTCTTGAGTACGCTCCTGTTTGTGCTTCTAATAACGAGACCTACCCAAACAAGTGTGCTATGGAAGTCGCTGCATGTGAGAGTGGTGAACGCCTCAGAGTCGTAAAAGGTGGAAGATGTGGTAGGTAGATACTCAGGCTTTTATCTCAGTAACATATTAGTCTGCGAGCAAGCTTTCCTTTTCGAGTGGCGAACAGAGCGAGACGCGCGAGGACGCGCGAGCGAGTGGGGCGGAGGTTAAAAAAAAGGACATCCCCCATCCCCCTCTCCCCCTTCCTTTGCTTGCATCTCCTCTCGCATGTGTTTCGCGCGTGACTTCACGATATCCCTCAATTGGAAAGAGAAGTGCCAATAACATATGTATATCTGATCCTGAAGGGTCACAGTCTACATGATGCATTGGTATATGTTTGTTTTTTGTTCTGGCTGTTAAATAGAATTTTCCCTCATTAATGGACATCAATGGCGTGTACATGTTGTTGTACTATTGTGGCCATTGAAGTGGAATTCATCTTTCCGTCGCCACCCTAAGAGCTTTGAAGCAGAGTTTGCTCGTCACAGATTATATATTTGTTGCAAAAATCGTTCTTGCGTAGTTGAACATGGTGCATATGTGAGAGGTTTTTCTGAGTCAAAAACTTGTTTTTCCTTCTCAGAATCCCAGATTATTTGTCCCTCGCATTTTAAACTCCAAATGAAGCAAATGGTAAACGATAATGAGCGCGACTATTATGACGCGTTTCTCTCGCCTTGTCAAAAAGTTTCGTTTGTCACTTTACATTTCCTCGCCCTTCTATTGCGTTCCGTTTCCCATTCGGCTTCATTTCATCCCTGCTGTCTAAACTCCTAGCCCCATATTTTCCTGGTCCCTTCAATGCGCGCTATTTACCTCGTCGACTTCATTTCTTACCCGCTCGTCTAAACGCCTAGGCCACGGTAGGCACTTTCTTATAAGACAACTGTGTGTTTGAAAAAAAAGTTTAGTTGGACGGCTAGGAAGAAGTGTCGCACTGTGTAAAGCGGATTACGCCTCCTTAATGGGTCTTTTCACTGGCGTCAATGTTTTTGCTTTGTTTCACAGGTGGGATGACTAGAAACAAACCTGACATCTGCCCCAGTCCATGGAAGGGTCTAGATGGAATCTGTGATCGTAGGGGAGATACCTGCCAGAGTAACGCTGATTGTGATCAGCAAGGAGGAGGAAAATGCTGCTTCAATGGCTGCCAGAAAGACTGTGTTCAGTTTGGTGAGTTAAATGGGCTGGGTCGTGGTAAAATTGTTGGTTTTGTACATTTTGTTTGTTAATAGGAGCACCGGAGAACTTATTAGCCGTGCAGAACGTCTTTTGTTTTCAAATTCTCGGCTACCGAAAGGTGATTAGTGAACGTTATGAATGACATTTTCATAGGCAAATTCAGGCAAAGTGAAACCGGAAGAAAAGCCGTGTCCGGCCGCTGTTTTAAGTTTACTCGAGTGCATTCCATGGGTTTGGTTTGTCCATCCGTGCAAATATTTGGACTTGTCTTTCTGCAGCGTTTTTTGTCTTGACTTTTGAGCTGTTCTCTTTTTAATGCGCCGTTGCCATATTGCGAGCTCTACTCAGGGACTACCGAACTCCACAAGGCAAAGTGTACAAAAAAAAGTCACATGATGATGCCTAAAGTGAACACATGTTCCCGCCATATAAAACTGTAGGGTCATGAGCACAAATAATATACTAGTTAGTTATACCGCTTTAAGGTTAATAAAAGGCGGTCGCCTTCTTAGCCTGGAGGCCCCTTATGAGCCCTCTTCAGCTAAACAATGCAATCACAGGGTATAAAAACACTTTGAGGGAGTGCAAAACAGTAACGTCATCTTTGTTTTGTTACCCGACTGCGTTTCATGCTCGCCAGTAATTCGTTGTTGTCCGATGTGACCGCCGCAAGGGGTCTATTGACCTATTGGCCTATTGAAGGAGCTGGAGGGGCTATTGAAGAAGCTGGAGTTTGACTGGGTTGAACGTCAAACGGTAGCCGAGAATCTCAAGGTTCGAGGGAAACATAATTACTTGTTTCCCGAGGGACCAGTCTTTCAGTTATGAATTTTGTCATATAGCTGGAAATTATGAAGCTGGAAGTTCATTAAACCTCGCTGTAACGGCGGTCGTCGGTCAACATTCGTGGGTAGCAGGGCACTGTTCAGAGAATTTAGCGGGAAACAGTTTCATTGTTAGATGTCATGTGACCTCGAGATAACCAATGAGAGCGCGCGCTGGTGGGAAAAAATTTCCAGCTGTATAACAATTCGATTTATGCAACTGGTCCCAGGAGTAATCATGATTAACTTCTTTTGTAGGTAAACTAAAATGCCCTCAAAAGTGCCACCCTAATGGCCGGTGCGTAGAGCTGGTGTTTGGCGGCCGACGGTGTGTTTGCAATCCTGGATTTGTAGGGAATGGAATAGAGTGTTCAGGTGAATCGTCTCTGTGTAAAGGGTTTATCAATGTGTATCATTTACTCTTAAACTCAAGGTGCCACTTTAGAAACAAGAAGGGAACTGGGACGAGTCAAATGAGCCAGAGACTTCTGGGACTGTTTGCGTCGCCAGTAACGATCCCACAAACCATTGCAGGAAGCATTTCGGCTCCAGTACCCTTCTCGTTCCCAAGATCACGCGGATCATGATGCATGAAAGGAACTAATGAATCCTCCTTCTCCAGATGGGGTTTAGTGGTTCCTTTGACGCATTCTGGTCTGAGTGATGTTGGATCATTCTGATCCGCATCATCCAAAAGGAACGTACCCTCAGAAATCCGTGAACACCTGAAATTTTGGAGTGATATTGTGCTCCAAGGAAAAAGCCCATCAGAACATTGTGCTTTGCATGCATATTCTTTTTTCTTTTTCTTTTTTGTGTCATTGGTCACTACATGTTGATCATTCTTAAAATATTGTAGTTTTTCTAAGGCAAGTCTTATCTCTGTATTGTTGGCCGCTTTCATTGTTTTCTGTACGGTTGAATTGCACAACCTTGTATGTAGTATTATGGGTATGTACAGTTGGGGTGTTATGAAATTTAATAAGTTTGGTTTGTCCTTGTGTGGATTTCAAATCTTTCCAGGTGTAGGGCACTGGGGGTGCACTTTCACGAAAACTCAAAGCAATGCTGCCACGATTATATATGGCGTTGTTAGATTTCGGTTGACACACGTTCAGCGTGATTAAAACGATTCTAAATTGATTGTGAACTGTTAAAGACTCCACACGCTTTGTTATTGGCTGAAAAATAGACTGAGAGTTGTGGTCATTTATTTTCCTCTTGAACATTTGCGAAAACGGGAGGACAGGAGGAAATGTCTTCCCTCCTTCCATTTTACGCGCGCTCGGGTATTGTTCTCGCTCTAGCATTTCCGGGGAAAATCACGGACTACAGTTGAGCCTCTAATAAGCGGCATTAATCAAAGTCCCGAATTAATTGTAGAAAAGAATGAAAACTTAAACCCCTGTTAAACGGCCACCTTTTGGCCGTCCCAACGAGAGTTCTCTCATAGTTGTCACCTCTTATAAGCGGCCGTCAAGCGCTTAATCCAGTTAGTTTGGCTTTTTTTCAAGAATATGGTGAAGGAAAATACAGTCCGAGATAGAAGGTGACGACCGATTGTGGACGAGTAATGCTGCCCCCGTCGCGTGTTTGTTTCAAAATGAAAAGATGTTTCCGCTAAAGGTTATGCTCATGTTATGCTAATTTATGACGAACCACTTTTGTGCTGCCAAGCTGCCACTTGCTAGTACTCCGAGGAAGGCCGCTTAATGGAGGTTCAACTGTATTCGTAGTCTAGCTGAAAATCTCGCCCTGTTTTCTTCACCTCCTATTCAGTCACAACTTGTGCACTCACGAAATTAAATTAACATACTCGTTTTGCTGGTATTGTAGCTGATCCTTGCAGTGTGAAGAAATGCGACCATTATGCCCATTGTAACAATGTTAATGGCGTAGGTAAATGTGTCTGCCCAGAGGTGTGTCCAAGAATTTTTGCGCCCGTGTGTGGATCCGATGGAAATGTGTATGACAACGACTGTCTGATGAGAGTCGCATCATGTAAACAACAGAAAAAGATCACATTTGCCAGCAAAGAAACGTGCAGTAAGTACGCATAAATATTGTCCGAGCATTCTTAGTAGGTTTAACCGTTTAAGTCCCAATAGTGACCAACAGCAATTTTCTCCTAACGATATCCATACATTGTCATGAGATGAGGTTATGAGAATTAATAAAATGATCACCTAAAAGAAAATACTTTGATCTTTTATCAAATTCTCTTAACTAATTCTTAAAGGAAATGTATAGAGATCAGTTTGGAGAATTTGTATGTGGATATTGGAGCTTATAGGGTTAACTGTCATACTATCTCAAATATAATCGAAACCATTCAGTAGATATAGTAGTGAAAGTGGAAGGTGATCTCAGGGTAAAAAAAAAAATTCGCTCAGTTTGAGGTCTGTACGGTCTTTATATCTGTGAGGCTTTAAAGAATTTTTTTTCCTACCTTACTAATCATCACTGGTGTCTCGAAATTCAAGCCATTGTCAGAAAGCAAAATCTCAAAAGTCACTTTTTACTTATGGGTGATCAGCTTCGTTGCAACCATTTCAATGTCGCGTCATGCCAAGGCTGAGGTTCTAACATGCTCCAAAACAATAAAGCCTAACGAACTAAAAGTATTAAGCAGCTCGCCTAATGACTGATGAAACGTTTCCATTTAAAATTTGATGAATTCCATGCAAAACAGTAATTCCTTATATGAAGACGATTATTCCTGTTTTACTTATTGTTACGTTAAAGGGGCTGTGTTACAAGGATATTAGGTCAATTCTGTGCTTAAGTCATTGTTTTACCCATACACAAAATGTTGTTGTAGAGTTATAAAGAAGATATCTGACAAATTTTATCAGGGAGGACTAAGCGCAGAATGTTTTAGTGATTTATGCAGGCATAACATTGAACGTGAAAAATAAGCACCATTTTTCACGTTCCAATCCATGCCTATCCTTGCCATCCATAGCAACAGACGACAAGAAACAGTTTCAATGCCAGAATATACTCTTAAATAACAAAACTGGGGCACCATTTTTGGAATTCAATTGGTGCGAAGACACGGTCTAGCTTGTTTGAGATATCAGTTACAGTAAAACACCGCGAAGAAGAACCGAGAATTTAAGATCCTGCTGGCAAAAATTTGTTATTTTAACACTCCAAAATGTAAGAACCAGTTTAGCCAAGAAAAATCAACAGGTTCTTATGTTGGGTTAGACGACATTTTCATAAACATTTTGACCAAAAGTTTATTATTATTATTTCTAGTTTATTTATTTATTTATTTATTTAGTCGGTCAGTTAGTTAGTTAGTTAGTTATTCAGAGCTTCCTACATGTAATATATTTAATAAATGTACAATGTTACAACCTTTGTTGAAAACTGCATATCTTCTAGCTGTTAACCTAGTTTTGTTAGATTTTTGGTAAATAAATTCCTATTATGAAGCTGGGACAAATATTATTTATAGCAATTTCTTGTAATCAACAACAGTATCCTTCTTCATAAAAAATTATGAAGAACTTATTTAGCCTAAACTTCTAATAAGTACTCCAAACTATAAGAATCTATTTTGCGAAACTTCAAAAAATCTAGGTTCTTCTTTGCGGCGTTTTACTGTAACGTGACACAGCCCCTTTAAAACATGTGATTAATATGCATTACACTCAACAGAACCAGATCCATGCAAGAAATCCAAGTGTAGTCACCCACAACATACATGTATGGAGACATCGATAGGAGCTGTGTGCGTGTGTCCCCCAACACCATGCACACTGGAGTTTGTACCTGTGTGTGGCTTAGACGGTAAAACATATCCTAACAGTTGTGTGATGAGGGTAACGGCTTGTGAAAACAGTCAAAACATCACTCTAGCAAGTCAGGGAGAGTGCAACACAAATGACACAAGTAAGCAGCTATTGATGACAATACGTTCAAATTGTGGAGGAAACTTTTCGGTAACAACTTCCTACGGTAACAATTGTTTATAGACTTTTGCTCGAGCCGCTAATTGACTTGCGTAAAGTTTGCGATCGACTGCAGTAGTTATTCTGGAAACCTATAATAAGCCTAACAAAAGAACCCTGTTCATACGCCGCCACCTTTTCTGCTAGTAGTTACGAGCCCGACCTAACACCTTTGATATTTGCTAAGTCGTCTTGTGTACTGTACTGTTTTAATTTCAGACCCCTGTGATGTACCATCCCTGTGTACACACCCCTATCACCAGTGTCAATTGGTGGGTACCAAAGCAGTGTGTATGTGTCCAATGATTATTCCAGCAAACCTGGCGCCAGTGTGTGGCTCTGATGGACAGACATACCCAAATGCAAAAGCACTCGAAAGCATGAGCTGTCTGGCAAACAGAATCGTTGATGTACAGTATGAGGGGGAGTGCATTGGTGAGTCCTAACCTTCTTTGAGCGGATACCTCTCCTAAGCCAACTGGTTTTCTGGCCGCAAGATTAGAGATTCTAAGACGATTCTAAGGCGACGACTACGAGAACGAGATTGTCTCATATACTAAGTAGTGCGCGCATAAACCAGCGTCATTTTGGCGGGAAAGCGTGGTAGCCGTCGTCATTCCACCACAGGTTTTAGTGTCGCAATGAAGAAAACCGGTTATTTAGCAATTAATGAATTCGGCTTTCGTAGAATATGACGAATTAAGCAGATCGAGGAAGGTGTTATCGGCCGAGGTGGATAACACCCTTCGAGATCTGCTTAATTCTTCATATCCTACGAAAGCCGAATTCATTACTTCCTAGTGTAAAACCATAGCTAAAACATGCTTACCTGCGTCGATGTTAAGTTCATCTTCGATAGTGTACGTTTAGGTTTTTCCTGCTCCGCAAATATTGTCCAAATAGCAGATGTCGCCCTCCGAGTTGTCGTCTTGCTGTTTTTGCCATGTTTTTACTATTATTTCGCCTAGTTCCAGCTGTAGTTCTTACTCTTGAAAAGAGTGAAATGTCCGCCTATAACAACTCAACCTCGTCCCCAGGTCTTCTCGGTAACGGTGACTTAACCTGAAGCGGGCTGCATTTTTAACGTCATTTCCTCTTTGAACACAAAATTCATCCAAATTTGGTCATCAGTGACTGGTTATGGTGAATTATGCGTGTGCTTTTAGCCAATCAGAATTGGGGAAATATTTAGAATGATTAAAAACAGATGTTAACGTTTTAAGACAGAATCCGTCAGGAAATTGAGTAATTTTAATTTCCAGTGGACAAAAACCTTGTACCAGAATAATTTAATGCACATCGCATTCTTTTGTACAATTTTCAAGGGCTAAAGATGTAATTAGTCAGCTGTAGTAACACCAAAGAAAATTTCTTATGGGAGCCCTAGAAAATAGATGTCAAATATCACAAAATGACATCTTACACATGACATTTTCAGAGTTTTACCTCTGTTCATCTTACACATGACATTTTCAGAGTTTTACCTCTGTTTTTACAATTCTGGTGAAATTTGACATTTATTTTCTCGGACTCTCATAAGAAATTTTCTTTGGTGTTATTACAGATGACTAATTACGTCTTTAGACCTTGAAAAATGTCAAAAAGAATGCTCTATTTCTTAAATTATTCTGTTACAAGGTTTTTGTCCACTAAGAATTAAAATTACTCAATTTCCCGGTGGATTCCGTCTTAACATTTTGTGATCGGGAGAGTGCTTAACCACCTCCAATAAAAATTACCTTGTTAACTTTTCTGGTGAATAGAACTAAAATGAAGCTTTCTGCGGTGCCTTTTGAGAATTCGCGAAAAAAAAACTCGCGTCCTCTGTTTATCTTCGTCTTCAAATCTAAAAGTCTTTATTATTTGCTTTCGGGAGGTGGACATTTCTTGGAAGTTTCATCTATTTCAACTAGAGTGCTATGACTAAGAAAAGTTTGGTATTTAGGGTAAGTGCTTGCTTACCGACAATAGGTGGCTGCTCTTGGATTTTCAACTATATAGATTTAGTTGTTGTTTTCACAAGGTGAAGATGGGATTTTTTATACTAACTGAGAGCACGCTCATTGGCCGCGTTTTGTATCCTGGTTTTTGTTAGTTTTGCTGTAGAATTAATGTTACTTCTTCTGTGTTAAGTTTGCACTGAACAATTGGCAACTGAATATATTGTAGTTTTCAGACTTAACTTTGCTATATTTTGGTATTGATGAGGCTAATTAAAATTACTTTTCCATTTACAATAGTTCCAACAGACCCTTGTGACATTTCGCTATGTAGTCATTCTCGGCATCAATGCCAGGTGGTGGATGGCATGGCAACCTGTGTCTGCAATGAAATCTGCCCGCTTATCTTGATGCCTGTCTGTGGATCTGATGGCCAGACATACCCGAATAACTGCTCTCTTGAGGTTGAAGCATGCGTGACTGGCAAAGAACTTACAGTGGTTGCAATGGGAGAATGCGGTAAAAATAAGTTATCATATTTACATTATTCTCAATCCCATCACTCCTAAATGTTGCCTAAGTCAAAATTAGACATATTTTCAAATTTCATCTTGTAAATTGCTAATAAACAAGTAGCAGCATTTGAAAGCCCCGAAAAAGACGTTTTTTTAAGGGTCACACCACGGGATTTCAAGTTAGATGCACCTCACAAGACTCTATCATTCACTCTGGGAGTGCAAAGCGAAACCATAATTAATGGCAAAACATACGATCAACTTGCAGCACGAGTCGTATCATGTAAATCAGACGTACAACAGTTGTCTGTTATTATACGGTTTGATTATTCGACACCGTTCTCGTTGTGAGCTAATTGAAGAATATCGCATGCGTCTAAGGTATAGCGTGTAAATAGGCCTTTAGAGTTTCGTGGCTGGTGATATTTGTATTTGTTAGTTCGAGTTTCTTAAGTTTAGCGTACATTTTATTTGACTTTCTGGATGCTAAATCAGTGGTTGGCACCCATGGTCATGACCTCTGCGTTGGCAGAAAATGAGTACTCGTCAGGAGGAGGGCAAATGGTATTCCATTTGGTTCTTGGGGCAAGATATCAACTGGTACATTGCCCTGTCTCCTGCTCCAGTTGCGATATTCATTTATTTTATTTTACTTTACTTTGTTTTTCTTTATCTAACGTATTTTATATTTTTATGTTCATATTTAACAATCATTCGCCGAAGGCGAAGTTAATATTGTCGAATAATCCCAGAGACGAAGTCGAGGGGATTATGCAACAGTATTAACTGAGCCTGAGGTGAATAATTGTTTTAGTATATGCACACGAAGTGATCTCAACAGAATCAGAAAGGAAACCATGAAAAAACGATTAGTTTGATTGACGGGTGAATTCTTGCGCGAACATGTAGCCGTAAATAGCAGATGCATAACAACAGTATTTTCAAACATGGCAAATCATAGTTTTAACTGTTTTGTAAACTTTAGCATCAATGATTGAAAAGAAAACGTTGAAAGTTTAAATAACTCCGCTTTCTGAGAAGAAACACAGAGCTTTATTTGCTTCTGTCAACTCACCGTGAAGGAGACAGTTTTTTTGTCGCTTCTTGCAAATGCTGTTAACAGCGGCTACGATCGAGGTGAACGTGTTCCTTGCCATGTTAACTTGCTGTCACGTACAGTTTTTGAAAACATTTGCTTTCCTTTTTTTCTCCGTAAATTAACTTCTATTTCCAGGCAAAGTTGGTTTTGCGAGGAAATCCCGAGTTCACAAAACAGTGACAAAGCGGCCTCCCTTTCCTCTGTGGTGGTTAATAAAAACATTGCTTCGAGCGTGTGAAAGTCAACTACAGTAAATCCGGTGAGGGTAAAAGGCGGATTGAGTTTCCGGAATGGCATGTGGCATGGCTTGCGGAATGACATAATTATGTGGAATGTAATATATGCAGAATGACCCAAAGAAATAAATTAAACTGAAAAGTGCGCCCTTTTTTGGCGCCAATTAATCTGCAAACGCAGCCGCTGTTTTAATGTTGACATACGATGACAATCAAATAGCCAAGAAGGCTCATTGTCGATTAGCCTTTTCCGCACAGCGGCAAAAATTCTTCTTGCCTTTATTAGTCGGGCTGCATGGCAGCACCGATACTACAGCACGAAAGTCGGCCATAATTGAAGAAAAGATGTTTTGGAAGGTCACGCTCCCTTCTACTTTAATTTTCTCTGCCAAATGTTTGCACGATGAACTTTACAGTTTCTTTTTACCTATATTTGTATTTGCAACCGCGTGAGAAGTGTTTCTTTTTCAAACAGTGGGTTACGTGATCGTGACATAATATTCAGAGATGAAACGGATCTTGTACATGTATTTTGTTTCTTTAGCTGCTTGGTTAAGTTTCCGGCACGCGAAGCTAACAGCTGGCGGAGAAGGGCGAGTCCGAATCCTGGCAATTGTGTGTGTGTCTTTTTTTCTTTTTTCCCCCCTCCTACCGCTTTAGTATTTTTTCACGATCAAACGCACACACTCACACAAACAAGGAAGGTGCGAAGACACGCGGAAAGGCCGAAAGGAGACAGAGAGCAGTTCGCTTCACTTGATTTCTGGATTACAGATTAATCTTTGACTCGGGGCGTTCATTTAGTCTAAAAAATGATCTTATCCGTCCACCGTATTAATTAATAATTCCTAGAATTGTAGCTAGCCCGACTTCTCGTTCAACAAGCGTTTTTTCCCTCTAGCGTTTTGACATTTGACTTTATTACAATGGTGGGCAGAAAGAGAGAAAGTATCGTCGAAAGCAACAAAAATAAATTAAGTATTACATAGACACGAATGCAGTAAAGCTTTTCGATACTTTCTGCTCTGCCCTGTTGGTTTAAGCCAGCCGTAATAAATGGACCAGCAAAAAAGTTGCTCACTCAAATTGGCGCCAAAAAAAGGCGCGGCAAAGACGGGCGCATGTTTTTCAGTTTAATTTATTTCTTTGCACCATTTTCCATATTTTACATTCCGCATAATTATGTCATTCCGCAAGCCATGCCACATGCCATTCCGCAAACTCATTCCGCCTTTTACCCTCACCGCAGTAAATCACTTCGCAATAAAACCACGCTGTTTACGCACCATGAAGTCTTCTCTTACCTTCAAAATCATCAACTCTGGGATATTCTTGTATTTTAAAAAAGTTCTTACTCTGCCTGGCAAAACAACCAGTTCACGACAACGATTTTGTTTTGCTTTATATTCACCGCCTAGTCCGAGATAGCGAACCAATCAGACTGCTTGAATCACCAAGATCACTGAGAGTGTGTATACTAATAATTAATAACATGCAACGAATTCAATAAAGTGAAGTAAAGGATTTCGTTTTAACGGTTTGCGCCAATCGCTGATGTTGTGACCCACCCATTCTGTTACGCTGCCAAACTTTTGAGTGAGCTGGATTTTTCCCCTTTAATAGATCAGTGTGCAAACATGGTGTGCCCCGATCCGAGAAAGTACTGTAGAGTAGTGAACGGTTCGGCAAGCTGTGTATGCAATGAGATCTGCACGTCTGACTGGCGTCCTGTTTGTGGATCGGATGGTAAAACGTATCCAAATGAGTGCAGTCTGGAAGTGGAAGCTTGTAAAACCGGCAAGAAACTGAGGAAAGTCCATTCTGGGGAATGTGGTAGGGGTAATATATCAGTTAAAATAGTACTGGTGTAAACTTTCTTTTTCGCAGATTGTTTTACTTGTAGACTCACTTTCTCCACATGATCTTAAGCCATGCAAAATTTCCCTCGTACAGTCAACTGCATAAACAACAAATAAATGAAATTTTGAAAAGGAAAGGGGGGAACTTTACAAGATAACTATGCAGGAATTCAGTCTCAGACGTCGATTGTTAGTTGATATTCCTTTAGTTCTTGTCCACGTTGAAAAGATGCATTGTGATGATTAGAGGTATTTTGTTCCAAGCGACAGCAGCAGCGTATCTAACACTGACTTTGCCGTAATGAGGTCTAGGTCGCTGGATAAACATTTGAAGTTGTCCCAACTGTAATTTGCTGATTTCAGTGATATTTTATATGCCTAATCAACTAAACAATGGTCTATCCTAAGGTATGATAATTCAGATAAAACTTCTTCAACAGTACTTTCGCATGATTTCATTTATTTTGTAAGTAGTTCTAACTTTTCGAGTCTGTGAAGGGATTCCTTACCATTCAAATGAAACTCTTTGGTAGTACTGTTACATCGTACTATTTTTTCTGCATTTAATAAAGGGAACATTTAATATTTTTAGGGGAATTTTAACTGCAGGCACTTGTCGAAGTAAAAACGCCTAATCAGTTCTTTGTCTTTGCATTTCAGCGGAAAAGTTAACCTGCCCTCGTATTGATCCTACGCCTGTTTGTGCACCGTCTTCCAAACCCAACTGTTTTACAGGTGGACCTAAGTGTGGTGGTGGAAAGGCTTGTTGTCTTGATCATGACTGTACTCATAAGTGTGTCGACCCTGCTTTACCCGATGGTAAGTTAGTATTAAAACAAATATTTTGGTTCCTTGAAAATCGCGGACGTTTAACTTTGAAATTGAAATTTCTTTTTGAAAGACGTGGAAAGGTATAATTTTGTGAGGAGCTTTTAAACGTTTCGTATACTGATTAGTTGGGGGTAGGCAATCCTAGAATCGCTGAAGTCAAAGTTTTTTTATAGATTTGTTTATTGTTTACTTTAGGCAGTAGACCAGGTGAATGTCCAATGCTAAATCCAATACCAGGATGTGCAGCAGTGAATGGCTGCGTGTCGGACGGTATTTGTAACCTTGGAGAGAGATGCTGCCTTCAATCAAACTGCACCAAGAAATGTGTCAAGGCTGTTATTCCACCACCCCCACCACGTCCCAAACCCAAACCCGGTGAGTATAAACTATGACATGCTTTCTATTTCAGTCCGTTAATTGGGTGGGGATGGGGAGGGACTTAAAAATAAGACGAACATACGTCCAGATAGTAAATTTTCCGAATGAAGTGCATACCGAAACTCCGAGCAAAGAAACTCGTTTAATCTTCGTCTACTCGGGCCTTTGTGCTCGGGACATAATGCGTAACATCCCCTCCTTCAAACTTCATGGTTTTAATCGCTTCCTGGTCAGTACAACGGAGTTCAGTGGAAGTACTATCAAAGTCCCCGCCCCCACCCCACATCCACTGGTGGCGGTTGAGGTCTCATTTCCACAATAATCAGCATGCCTATTGGCCGGTCGATTGTGGTTACTTTCCATAACTTTGTTTCCCATGACAGGGAAATACTTATGCAGAGGAATATTTTACCACCTATCGTATTATCTCCTATATTACTGGAACTAAACCTTGGCTAAAATTAAAGTGTTATTTTGTCATATTTTCAGCTGGTAAGTTGACCTGCCCTCTCATTGATCCAATGCCTGGTTGCGCACGGCCTTCCAAACCCAACTGTTTTACAGGTGGACCCAAGTGTGGTGGTGGAAAGGCTTGTTGTCTTGATCATGATTGTACTCATAAGTGTGTCGACCCTGCTTTGCCCGATGATAAGTTGGCAAACAAATATTTTCATGCCTTGAAAATTGTGACCCTTTTGACAACTGGATGTTGCTTTTTGAAAGACGTGGAAAGGTGTAATTTTGTGAGGGGCTTTAAAACGTTTGGTTGACTGATTAATTAAGGGTAGGCAATTCCAGAATCGCCTTTGGAGTTTTGCTGCTTTCAAAAGGTTTTGCTAATTTGTTTATTGTTTACTTTAGGTAGTAGACCAGGTGAATGTCCAATGCTAAATCCAATACCAGGATGTGCAGCAGTGAATGGCTGCGTGTCGGACGGTATTTGTAACCTTGGAGAGAGATGTTGCCTTCAATCAGACTGCACCAAGAAATGTGTCAAGGCTGTTGTTCCTCTAACCCGACCCATGCGCCCACATGGTAAGTACATGGAAAAAAATATAACGATGGCGGGACTCTCAATTCAAGTTTTTGTTTTCTCCCCAAAACAAAATCAAAGTGAAAACTATGGTGAACTCGTGGATACATTGTTTGCAAAGTAAAGAAGTCATGTGATAAAATCAGTAAAATAGTTTCTAGGTTTCCGTACATGTACCTGTCAAAACACACTCCCAGTAACTCCAATTTCATTTTCTATCAAGAGAAGATACTCAGAAAACGTTTATTTTCCAACTGTAGTGCGAACAGGAATGTGCGTAAATATTTATTTTGGCTCGTCACTTATTTATTGACTGTTTTCTTGTTTATCTTAAAATTCGTCTAGGGGTATTCATCTTAGAGAAAAAGCATTCTACGGGCAAACCAAAAAAGGGCAATTGTAACCCACCGTGTCATCGTTATGGAAGCTGCGTAAAGGTCAATGGAAAATACACTTGTTCTTGTGCCAGAGCTTGTCCCAGGATATACAGCCCTGTGTGCGGTACAGATGGAGTCACGTATAGTACAGAGTGTATGCGGATGTATTTGGTTTGTAAAAAGGGCACTGATGTTAGGTTCAAGCATTCAGGAAAGTGTAAGGAAGGTCTGTATTGCTTGTAATTCTTTCTTAGATAGCGACTTGTAGTGCAATAAACATCAATGCATGGTTGCTTAGACTGTTGTAAGTGCTGAGGTTTTGTTGGCTTGACCTTACGTCGAGTAAGAAGACTCAAATAACAAATACCAAGTTCAAGTTCTCGTTTATTTCGCACTATTCAAGTTGATATAGTATAAAATGGCTTACAGAATCAGTAGGTTAACAAATGATGAAAAGTAAATATAATATACAGGTTTGTTGTAATGTGCATAGTGACCAAAGTAGCCGAAGCTTTCGTGTTGGTCACTTCTGTTCCATTCATCCGTTAGACAACGTTGTTTGATTTGGGTACGCGTTTATGGCTCGTCTACTCATTTACTTTTTGCCAAGGAAGCTGTGTACTCCTTATTTCTCAAACGTGACAAGAGAGGTTTCAGGGGAAATTGACTTTTTATTATACACAAGGTCTAGGTCTAGATGTGACACACCCCCTTTAACCTTGTGAGCCCCAATGAAAGCTATTGGTTTACCAGTGCATGTAATTGTGTTGCACCAAAAAGTTTAGTTTTCAGCTTCTTAGCAGAATGTGGTAATCTTAATCTCCAGAGAAACATGAAGACCAGTGCCCTGTTCTGAACCCCACCCCCATGTGTGCTTCGGTCACTGGCTGCTCAAATCACTCAGAATGTCAAGAGGGTGAAAAATGCTGCTTGGGACGAGACTGTGTTCGAACTTGTGTGGCTAAGGCCAAACCAGGACAGTGCCCTGTCATCAAGCGGTTACCTTGTCCTTTGATTCTCAAGCCTGATGAGTGTACCACCGACTGGGACTGCGCTGGTGATCTTAAGTGTTGTTCCGACGGATGTACTAAAGAATGCTCTTCTGGGTTTCTGTCGGAAAAGAGAGGTGGGTTGATGTGTGTTGAATAGCAACTCTCAGGATCTGATTAATAATTCGCCTTTCTTTCTGCTATGCATTTTAGTAAACAGTAATTAAGAGAATTCGGGATAATATCAATAAGTTATAATCTGGCTGCTCAATTTGCCTATTCTCATCGCCTTTGTACTCGGAAATGTATTGGATATTATAAGGAGAAGTTAAACGTCAATCATTTCTAGGAGTTAAAGGGTTAATGGTCATGTGTCACTCAGTTTGGGCAGTTAGCCGCTAGAAACTGGCCTCTTAGCTGAAACAAAACTTCACAAAGTGGATTAAAATGTTGTGGCACGTTACCTTTCAAGCCGTAGTCAGACAAAAAACGCAGTTTATTCAAGTGTCGATGTATTTACACGGAAGTGCTAACTGAGGGCACTGTTTTTTACGTCTCCTACTTTGAGACGGGAGCGTCATTTCTAGGTCCTCAGCGCTATCCACGCCACAGAATGTCTAGCCGCTTGTCAGGTAAAGGGCTGTGGTCAGAGCGGACATGAACCTGGGGAATCCATCTGGCAAGTCTGATGCGCTTGCCATTCGGCATTGGTGACTCATAGTCGTTTCCATAAAGCGAAATCCAAACTTAAGTAGCCACTTTGTTTTTGTCTTGCTTAGCTTCAGAGAATCCTTGCAAGTTTTCAATGTGCAGATATCCTCGTCCAGTCTGCAAGGCCGTTGGAAAGAAAGCTACGTGCCAGTGCCGAAAGAAATGCCCAAGACATTACGATCCAGTGTGTGCTTCAAACGGGGAAACATACAACAACATGTGTTTGCTGGAATTGACTGCGTGTTTATTGGAGGACACAGGCATGCCAGCTGGAAAACTAACTTACCTTGCTAATGGAAACTGTACAGGTAGGATAGACTATGTCGCGGATCTCTCACAAACGCCAAAAGCCGATCCACTGAAAGGACTGTATATCTTCGTTTTAAAACCGTCCAGTCCAATCTTGGGGACAACTAAACACACGCTGCGATAAAAACAGTCAAATAAAACGATCGAGCAAAACGATGCAAAACAAGCCTCTGGCATAACTGTTTGATCAACAAACATTTATTTACGTTGTGATTGTTCTCAAGGCTATCAGCTAGCCTTGTCACAAATCAAGTGTACAGTACATTTCCAAGTTCAGAATGTTGTATCTAAATTAAGTCACAATTGCAAAACATCTTCTCCTTAATTCGCTATGTAAGTGTACTCAGTAATAGCTTTTCTTTCCCACACCTGCAGAGGGGCAAAGGTATTTCGTACATTTTATGTAAGTTTGAATTAATTCATTATTGTTTTCCTTTTATTTTGTGTCGTTAACAGTGGCGCAGATCTGCAGTCTTCCACCTGAAACAGGTCGCTGTCGAGCTTCAATGAAACGATTCTTCTTTAATGCCACCTCTCGCAAATGTGAGGAGTTTAGATTCGGTGGCTGTGAAGGAAATGCCAACAGATTTGACAGCGAGGAGGAATGCCAAGACTACTGTGGATGTAAGTTAGCTAGGAAAAATATTTGGACTTACGGTGAACGTTTTAACGTTTAAAAGTTGTCTTGTGATTCATATAAAAATGGATTGCTCCCGGTTAGACCATGCGAAAGGATGAAAATGAAATTTTTCTAACCACGAAAACCTAGGAGCTGCCAGGAACTCAAGTAACAGCTATTAATACACCTTATTCCAAAACGTTGGCTAGAGTACTTTTCTTTATATTAATGTTAGTATAGCCCTCTTTGCATTTCGATCGGAACACTTACAGTCACAGTGCATCAACAGTTCAATGTGAATCGTTATCGTTACACTGAAATCAAACTATGCAATGTTGCTTTGAAAGACGAATTCAAATTTGCTCCATAATATCATGCGTGAGAAATTACTCCTTAATAGGCCATTTGCACGATGACGTCATTTTACTACCACGACCAGAATCCTTGAGAATTTTGTTTTGTTGTGCAAATTAGGGCTTTTGTTATTTAAACCTCGCTGGTATAAACAAATTTAAATATGAAACAAAAAACGAAAAGGATTCTGGTCATAGTAGTAAAATGACGCCATCATGCAAACGGCGTATTTTGGCGCTAAATGTCAGCGCTAATTTGACATGTGAAATTATATAATTGCCATGGTAACGCTCCCTATGTCTTCGTGCCAAGATGGCTTCAATGTTTAAAATTGTAATGAATGAAAATGTCAGGACATAAAAAGGCGCTCTACAAAAGCTAAACACGCGAAAAAGCAAGAAGGATCAATTCACAGGTATTTTGTCGAAAAATTCAGACAATTATGATTTAAGTTAAAACGTACGCTCTAACCTTGTCAATGCGTCAGTGAGTGGAGTTCTGGACACGATAAACAAATCAAAACCCCACGATTGTGAGCGTATTTTGTCACCCATACTATAACAGTAAAGGCTCGGGATACGCGCGCGATACTTATTGCCTTATTTCTCTTGTCACTATTTGACTACGCATGCTTATCTTATTTTCAGCCTTGAATGTGTGTGATTTGAAGCCTTGCCCTGATCCGTATGCCCGCTGCAGTATTTCTGTCTCCGGAGAGCGTCAGTGTTCGTGTCCACAGATCTGCACAGCAGATTACAATCCAGTGTGTGGAACTGATGGTCAGACGTACAGCAATGAATGTCAAATGCGAGTCGCAGCCTGCAGCCATGGAATGATGATAAAAATCAAATCCAGGGGAAAATGTAAACGTAAGAGTTGGATTTTTGTACTCTAGCTGAGAGAAATTAACAAACTGATGCCAGTTTTTTATGTATTTATCCTCTTACTGATGATCACTTGAGTCATAACAGTGTGAAATTGTTGTGAATCTTTGAGACGCAAACCATGTTTCTCAGCCAGGAATCGCTTCAAAAAGTCGTTTGAGCCCAGCAAATCATCAGGGGTGTCACTAAGGGCCCCTCGCAACCATGAGCACGACTCCCGGCTACTTGGAGAGGAAACGAAAAGGAAAGAAAATGAAGCTAGCTGTTCAATGTCCCGCCTATAAATTGCATATACCCAGAAACTTAAAATCTTAATGACAACCCTGAATCATACTATTGTTTACGAAGTGCAAGGTCTGTTTTTTTACTTTGAAGATGCCACTTAGTCTTGTCGTGGGCTTGGCAAACTATGAGCGAGTAATTTGCACTTGCCCGAGCGGCACCTCCAACATTAAAACGTAGTGAATCAGTCGAAAGAAATCAAAACCGAATTACTTTTTGCAATGTTTTGGAGACAGAAAAACGTGGCCTGAAGTTTCAAGTTGCAATCTTCTCAGCCTGAGAAAACACCCGAGATTTCGCAACGCCACCACTGGTTTCCCCACGAAATAACGACTGAGAAACGAGTACAAAAATTCCATACTGATGACGCGACACTATTCAGATATAGGTAGTGCTTCTGATTGGTTCCAAATTTGCTTCAACCAATCAGAAGAACTACCCAGATCTGGATAGTGACGCGTCATCAGTTTGGAATTTCTGAGCTCTTTTCTCAGACTTCATTTTGCGTCGGTGGCGTCGCCGTGGCGTCGTCGTGTTTTCTCAGGCTACCACTCCTTTCCTTGTCTTTCTCTTAGATAGTGTAATTGCACTTAAGTACTTCAAAACAAAACAGGAGTATCTTAGTTTTGTTTACATAACCTGCAAATAATTAATACATCTTTAGTTTTGTTCATACTCGTAAGAGTGGCCCTATAAGCTGTTTGCTCCTACAATTAATTACGTGTAGACATGGGAATTGTGGTGAAAAAATTGTATTACCTATTGACGTGCCGCCAGCCATATTGTTTGCTGGGAAATCGACACAGTTGACTACTTCTCACATTCCTTTTTCATCACAGACAACCCAGGCTTCTGTCCTTCTGTGGACCCACGGGTGTGCTGGGATGGTCATGAAGATGAATGTTTTGATGACGCAAGTTGTGACGCTGATGAAAAGTGTTGTCATGATGGCTGCAAGAAGAACTGTATCAAACCTTTATCAGTACCAAGGCGTGGCCCTCCCCGACCAGCTGTACCACGTAAGTAGTGTAGTGCAGGGTGTGCAGTAAACACCCGCCTGTAACAACAACAAAATTGGTTCTTGTATTTTGGGATACGTATTGGCAATTTAGGCTAAGTGGGTTCTTCATTTCTATGAAGGAGATGTAGTTGTTGACTACCAGAAAAATAAAGAAACTTGAGTTTGGTTCATAAATATACAGTACTTATTCAAAACTGTTCATTACAAACCTCCTTTATGCAAGGCCCATGAAGACAATTACAGTCTGTGCTTCATATAAACTTGTTTTTATTGTAGGAATAATAGTAATACTTTTATTAGTTATTACAGTTTGTTACATTATTTTCTTGTTATATAAAGTCAACTCGTTCGTTAAGATGTTTTACATAATTTAACTGAAACCCATAAATAAGAACCTGCTTGATCTTGCTTGGTTAAACAGGTTCTTGTATTTTTGGGTATTAAAGTGGCAAATTTCTGCCTACTTTATCAGTAGGAACCTGTTTAACCCTTTAAGCCCCAATATCCACATACAGATTCTCCTCACTGATTTCCATACATTTCCTTGAATTATTAGTTGGGAGAATTGATAAAAGATCAAGCATTTTTCCCTTTGGTGACAATTTGATTGATTCTCATCACCTTTTTCTCTTAATGATATATGGATAATGTTCAAATAACATTGGTGGTGGTTACTCTTGGGACTTTAGTTAAAATTGCTTTTTGCCCGTAAGTTGACATTTCAATATGGTAAACTCCGCAAAACTAACGATAATTTGCAGTAAGAGAAATACTGGAAAGTTTTGTGTCACCCGAGGCAAAAATAAAGACGTTGATGGGGAGGTTAGTTGTTACAAGCCTCGAAGAGCTCCATGCTAAGCCAAAGCGCAAGACGCTAAGTAAGGGGATGGCGATTTTTGAAAGTAACGACTAAGTGCGAATTATTTTGAATTCAACATACACAGCAGTGTATAGCTAGTCACCCTAGAGTGTTGCAGTGTGGATGAAAATACTTGTCACGTGACGTTTTGGAGCGCAAACCCCAGCCCGAGGCTACGAATAACCCTAACTGTTGAACTAACTCTCTTGAAGGTCAAAGCACCAATACTTATTTTGCAATCCCAAGAAAGCCCCTCGGTTGGAGTCAAACTGGCCCTTACATTTCCTGGGGGTGGCAAATATCTAGGTTACGTGATGAAAACCGTTCACTTAAAAAGGGTAACTAGCTGTACCTTGTGCGACAGATTATAATCACGTTATAACGTGCTTGTTTATTGAAGGAATGGTTCCGCACCGATTACACAAAGTTCCCCCTGCTAAAGACCCATGTAAAAAGTGCAAGTTCCCAAAGACCTTTTGTTCAAGGGATAAGAATGGCACAGCGGAATGCTTGTGTCCACAATTTTGCACTCGGGAATTTGTACCAGTCTGTGGCACGGATGGACGTAACTATAGCAACAAATGCCGATTGGAAGTGGAAGCATGCAAACCAGAGAACATTCGTACCTTAAAGGTTAAACACCTTGGACCGTGTGGTAAGTAATGGGAGTAAGCTGCGGAATACCTAACAAAACGATTCCATGTTGCCGCGCGCTTGTTCAGTGATAGATCATAGAGGACGACAATTGGGGTGAGAACAAACAATGTGACAAGCTAGCTGGAGGCGGTAGTCGAAAGTTAATTTAAAGTTTAGGCAACCTTGCTACTAGGGTTCTTCCTTTCCTTTCTTGTAAATAGCTCCTGTTAACCTTCACTACCTCAATACCAGATTATCTCGCAAACGTTTTGAAAACTGCTCGTCTTGTTGCACAGAATGAAGCTAACATCAAGTTCCATAGCGAGTAAGGCAGACGAACTGAAAGTATTTCAGGAATGTTTATTCTGTTACGAGCAGTCAAAACAAAGATCAGGACACGCAAGCAAGTCACAAAACCACAGGCGTATTAACCTTGCTGCTTGCTGTTTGGTTTACTCACGCTTGATTAGCTTTGTTCTTGCAATATAACGTACATTCCAGAAATTTGATTTATGGTGTCCGCGGTTTTGTCTGTTTGACTGTAGCACTGTTTAGAGGTGAATGGAGGACTGTACCCCCATACCAACACCCACATAAAAACTGTTACACTGTCCCTAGTAATTGCTAATACTAAATGGAAAGGACAACACTTCTGTGACTTATCCCCTCAGTTATGTTAAAGAAACGTTTATGAATTTATTTTTCTCCACTCATCAGTGTGTGATCTGCCTCCTGTTGGAGGGCCGTGCTATGGTTATATGCCACGATACTTCTTCAATGCGACCAAAAAACGATGCGAGAGATTCATTTACGGGAGTTGCCGAGGAAACGGCAACAACTTTGAAACCGTTCAAAGCTGCGAGGACAAGTGTATAAGTGAGTAAAGAAATTATTACAATCTACGAAGTAATTTGTCTTTTGCTGTTGTCGCAGAACTGACCACATTTAATCGCGAAGTTTTAAGCGGGAAGTTCGACCGTGTTGTTTTTTTGTGAAAAGACCTTTCCATTCCCCGTTGGCTGTAATACTAGTCTATTTGTAGAAGCGCCTCTTAAGGAGAAGCAGTCTTATGGTCTGATTATCTCTTTCGACAGGTCCGTGCAAGAATTACAAGTGCCCTTATCCTCGCACGCGCTGTGAATTAGAAGAAGGTTTGCCTGTTTGTAAGTGTCCCGTCATCTGCACAGCGGACTACCGTCCAGTGTGTGGAACAGACGGCAAGACGTACGCAAACATGTGTGGTCTAGAAGGTGCTGCTTGTCATACTAAACATTTTAAACTGGGACTAAAACACCTCGGAGAATGTAAGTTACTTATACAAGAAACAGCAACGTAACATTCAGCCAAGGGGGGGAAGGCGTTTCCGGCGTGATTACGAGTTTTATCATCAACAATGACCACGTGAACAAGTGCAAGATCTTCTCGTGCATTTCCTCGTACTCTTCTTTGTAGTTGACAGTACATTGTTAAGGTGATGTTACACGGGACCATTTGCAAAGACGATTTTTAGCGCCACTCAGTAGGGAGCTTAAGCAGCGACGTTTTTGAGCGACGCACGTCAACCGGAAGTGAGCCTTTATCTCTTTTAGTAAGACTTTACGCTACCGTATTTATATTGCCAAGTGTCTTAATTCTTATAGAGACGATCTGCCCAAAAATTTGTTCAAAATCACGGCTAAAGTGTGCAAAAAGTCCATTTCCGGTTGACGTGCGTCGCTCAAAAACGTCGCTGCTTAAGCTCCCTAGTGTTGTCACTATTCGAAACAATGTGACAACAATGTTGCAACGCTGTGTTGCGCTAACAATCGTGGTCGCGAATCGTCTCGTGTAACATCACCTTTTAAACACACGTATCGGGAACGCGCACAAGATAGAAAAAAAAACTATTAAAGAGAATAGTCCTTTTCAGTCATATTTTAAATTACTGCTGAGTGAAAAAGCCAATGACACAGATACCGGCAGGAAGGTGCCTGAAATGTGAAATGAATAAGACAGTGTTGTATAAAAAACAGGTCGGCTTCTCGCCGGAATTTGTGAGTACAGCATGTTCATTTCAGATGGAGGCCAGCCCTGTCCAGTAAAATTGCGACTTGAGTGATTACATTCAGCAGTCAAAGGGAACTCGAAAGTGCACTATGAAATTGTAAAACAGAAGTGAACGATAAATTCAGAGCTTAAGGGGTGCTACAACCAGCTAAGCCCATTATAGATATCAGAATTCGCGCATGCTTAGTAGCTTCTTACTTCTACTCGCACTATTGGCCGGTGCTAAACTCTGTGTTAGCACATAATCTCGCCAATTGAATTTTGAAAAAAATCGAATTAAAAAAAAGCTAGTGGATGCTCATGATAGCAGGGTGAATCTACTAAAAACAAACATGCGTGTAGAGATTGTCAATGTCGCTCGTTTTTCAAATTTATCTGTTCAGAAAACTAAAAAGACAAAGGGTCGGAATTTCTAATTCAAACGTGTCATTTATTTATTTATTTATTTCTGTCTTTGTTGATTATTTTGTTTACTTTTTGTTCATTGTTAGGCTTGAGTGTCAACCCGTGTGAAGGATTTGTATGCAGTCACCAGGGCGAAAGTTGTGTTGTAAAGCGCGGCAAGGCTGCGTGTGTTTGTAATAAAGTATGTACAAGAGAATATGAGCCATACTGTGCATCGGACGGCAATACATACTCTAACAATTGCACTCTGCAATTGGCCGCGTGTGAGAGTGGAGAATCCTTAACAATTGTACATCCGGGAGAGTGTGGAGGTTAGTATGACGAAAGAGCTCTACTTACATTCATTGCTCAATATTTTAGAAAACCTTTTTCGCCATTATTTTTTGTCGTCCCATAGTAGATCATTTGGTGATATTCGCTGAGATATTCTCTTTTAAGGTGCGAAAAACATTATACTTACGTGATCTACAAATAGAGTAACAACAAAAACAAAGAACAAGGTCTTAAGTACATGAAAAAGAATTAAAACTTGGCAAGTGTTTGCGTTTCTAGGTTGTCAGAAGGAAAGGAATAGGAACAACAAAGATGTTTTAAAATTTTGCTTGTCTTTATCGAGTGTTTTGTCGGGTTCTGTAATATTTCTTTGTCCTTCTCTTCCGAGACTGCTTAAGTGCATGTTGTTTTAAATCATTTTGATAAAAATCTTGCTGTTTTATTGTTTGTTTGTGTTTTCAGTGAGTCACAACTTTTTTACTATCTTGCCTATCTGCCATTCAATAACCAAATAAGAGTTATCACTGTACACACCATACAACCAGGAAGAAAACATTTTTCTAATAATCATGACAAATTTTAAATGCGCTTATTAAAAACAAGTCACAGAGGCTAAAACCCGGGCCCAATAAATGACTGAATATCATGAGTTGCTCTTTAACGTCTGATATATGCGTTACTCTGTAATTGTGCATCATGCAACAAAAATGTTTTCGTCCAGAAGTTGCCCCGTAACTTGATTTTGTTTCGAATGGTTGGTTGTCCTGTGGCGTAAATATCACCTCGTGTTTACCTTTATTTTGTTGTAAACAGAGCATTCTGACGATCCCTGTCTGTCAGTCAAGTGTCCATTCCATGGTGTCTGCCAGATATCACAAGCTGGTGATCCTGTGTGTCAATGCGTCACAGAATGCCCAGACATTTATGACCCTGTTTGCGGCTCAGACGGAAAGAACTACTCGAGTGAATGCGTTCTTAAGTCACAGGCTTGCCAAGCCAAGACTGCGGTCCGGGTGGTTGGTAGCCCTAAAAAGTGTGGTAAGTTCGAAAGTCATTCTCCGCAAGTTGTTTAAAAGGTGGATAACGCTATCCAGCGGATAAATCTTCATCCAGTAGATAACCAACTTGGTTTCCATTTCCCTAATACTTATCCGCTGGATAGTGATTTGTTCGGTGGATAGCGTTATTTAACTTGGCCAGAAGAGTTGAAGCTCGAAAATGGTACAACGTCTTTCTCTGTGTTTTGGTGGAGATCTCAGCAGTTTTAACTAGTTTCGATGGGGCGGCATTTGTTTATTTCCTGACACAAAGCTGTTGCGCACCGTTGGAAAACGTTGTGTAGTCTTGCAACCTTTGTTTGTCTAGAGGACATTTCACGTTTTTACTACTTTTGTTGCACTTTATTTGCTTGTTAATATCACACAATTAATTTACTGGGAGAATATTTTTGACCGTTTGGGTTCGCAAACCTTACTTACAGTTCTTCTCTTTCAACAGTTTCAAGAAGGCTGAAGTGCAACTCCTGCCCCGCACGCTCTCACGTCCTTAAACATTTCTGCGAGAGCGATTTTGGTAAGTTAACGTTATTACCGTCCATGTTATATAGAAAAGACTGTACTGGTCTATATAGTCAGTCTTTTTTCCTAAAGCATTCAGCCACTGAATTCGCCAATATTTTAGCACCACTAACGTAAGCTTCAAGGTATATGTTTGTTACAAAGAACGGTTAGGGAACCTGGATTACCACTCGTGTCTTTATTTGAGAGGGTTTCGCGGTAAAGTCGGTTGATCCGAAAATGTTCCTCATTCCTCGCATTATTTGTTATCATGACTTAACTGTCTGCTTTTGATGTTTGATGCAGTTATTGAAGGCACGCTTGAGGAGATCCGAAGCACTGAAGATGAAGACCACTCTTCGGTCTTGATGGTTAAAGTGACCACGATGTTCAAAGGACCGGAATCAATACAAAACAAAATCATCAAGATCAAATTCGCCGAAAATTTGCACAGGTAAATTAGCTGTCTGTTTTAGTATCTTTTAGGGGTCAAATAACTAAGGTTGAGTCAAATCCAGATCGGTAAATTACAATTTTGCGACGAGCATGCCTGGCATACCCCATGGACGTCCCCCCCCCCCCCCCCCCACCACCACACACACAAACACACACACACTTATCACCACCTCCACTACCATGTATTTCCACGCTTAGGAAAGATAGTTACGCTCAGTCAGTTAAATTTTAATCTTGATCGGTCGAGAAAGTTAAGGGATTTTTTTTCAGCCAATCACATAACTTACTTAAAGGGGCTCTGTCCCGAGCATACATGAAGTAGATATCAAACAACTTTCATCAGGGGGCCCTAAGGGTAATAATTGTTTTGGTAATTTTTACAGGCATAGCATTAAAACTCGAAAGAGTTGGCCCAATATTTTTAAGTTCCAATCCATGTCCATCCGTGGCAACAGGCAACAGGAAACAGTGTCAGTGCCTAAATTAAGTCTAAAATAACAAAACTGAATCATAATTTTTTTTTTTTGGAATCTGATTTAAAAGGATAGCAAAAACCGAGACATGGCCCCTTTAACGTATCCGATTTTAAATAGTTGTACCAGGTTTGTTTGGCCAGTTGGTATTATACTTTGTAAGGTTTTAGCGTTTCATCCAGTAACAGGCACGTTTGTCTATTCTTGGCAGGTGCTCCTGCAAAGAGTTGAGAATGAAAAAGGCAGTAATCATCGCTGGATCCACTACAGACAAAGGCGAGCATTTCCTCGATAAATCGTCCAGTTTTGTGCGTCATGCTGGCAGACGTTTGATTCAGAAAGTTCAGCAACATACAAAACACGACAAATGCAACAAGAACAAGAAACAAGACTAACTTCCTTCACCGAACAAAATTGTGACAAGAGTAGCGTGACGCGTGACAGCTGTTACAATGGCTGTTGGGTGTCAACATCCACGATAGATTCCACAGATAGGAAAAAATCAAACATAAAACAATGGATTTGAAAAAACCGAGAAATTATTTTTTGTAGCACAGTTAAATAAATAATGTAAATGAGCTGGGTTTTATTTGAATTGCATAAGGCAAAATGGCTTAGTTTATTGACCCAGAGAAAGTGACAATTCTTAGCGAAATTATTTTTTTATCCGAATTGTTGTGATCAGTAGTGCAGAATATTCATTAAAGAGCAAGGATATTTTTTCAAAAACCAGTTTTTTTGGATTGTTGCAAAAGACCAATAACAAAGTTATGCCCCTTCTTAGTTAAGCCCTCCGTATTCTCTGCAGACACGTTATGCAAGACAGGTTGGAGAATTTTATGCAAAACGGAGGGTGTGTTTCTTTGAGAAAATTCAAATCCGGACTCTTGAATCCAAAGACGGGTCTTCCGTCACTTTGGGAAAAACAGAGAATCCTAAAATGGATTTTGAGCATAAAGCCATGCCCTAAAGGATTCCTCAGATCAAGTCTGAACCCGAATTTACAGGACTCCTGATCCGTGCGTTCCTCTGGTTACTGATCTGAAAAAAAACCTATACTTGAAGTGGCTGGAAACTAGCTAGCTAGCTTTTTTATGTTGTTACATTATTTCAAACAAATAGGTTTTTTTCAAAACGTAGTGCATTATTTAGACTAACGCCTAATAGGCGGAGATTGTTTTTAGACACCACAATTGACCAGAATAACCTGCTGTTCGCGCCTCCCTTGTGATGGTTGATGAGTACTGCTTTTAGCGTTGCGGAGATTAGTTTCGTGCATATTTGCATTTGATTCTTAAATATTTCATTTTCATGTTATACAATCACTGTTTTGTTTTCGTGTTAATTATACGCTTCAAGTGATGGTCATTTTTAAAACCAAGGAAAGCTTTGTGGAACATGTTTAACATCGCCATCGAATCCAGGCGGTGGATATATTTCAGCTGTTATACTACTACATGAGAAATTTCTGCAATTTGATTGCCTTAGAGCAGTGGTATTTCAGCTTAATTTGAAATACCTACATGTGAAAATTACAAACCTTTTGCGGGTAGTAGTATAATCAAATAATAGCATGATTTGTACGTGATATTTGGCATAAATACCACTAGTGATATTTCAAAATTGTCACAAATTTCACTCGCCTGACGGCTCGTGAAATTACGTATAACAAATTCGAAATATCGCTCGTGGTATTTATGCCAAATATCACTACAAATCATGCTGTTACCTATACTAATGATCACTCACACGTACATTCTGCTCAGTGGGGAGGTGGGGCTTATATTCGGGGATGCGGGAAGTGGGGTATTATGATCGGATCTATTTTTTGGTTTACATGTAGATGGTCTCGATCATTCTGAGATGCTGGGCAAAGTCCCTTATATAAATCTTATAATTAAAATTATATAAAATTGCCTTACATAACTTAATCCTTAAAGTCTTCATTTTAAGACCCCTAAAAGGTTCGTTATATCGAGGTTCCACTGTATCAGGGTAAAAGAGTTCTATCATGCGTGTAATAATTATTGGTCAAAATCATTATCTTGTGACTGTCTCGTATTTGATTCATGTTTTCAATAAGCCACATGTAAGATTACAGGTTTAATGCGCTGTGATTGGTTAAAAACAACAGCGAATGATAAACACCGACCCACAGGGCCGAGCGAAGTGATTGAGATCAGAGAAAGTAGTTGCTTTTTCGGCGCGCCATAATCATGGACGCTGTGAAGCTGCTCGTCTTCGTTGCAGTATACTTTCAAGGCTGTTTTTCGACCGAAAGGAAGAAATCCTTTAGTCCCTGTAAGGATGCCAGTAAAGGTTCTCTGTACGATTACACAGTGAACGACATCCATGGTGTTAAACTAGATGAGAAGTTTTACAAAAATCAAGTCACTTTGGTTATGAACGTGGCGACCTTCTGAGGATTAACCATGCAGTATCTTCAATTGAATGAATTACTTGAAAAATATAACAAGGATAAGAACGATAATGCGAAGTGCAGCTTTAAAGTACTAGCCGTACCCTGCAATCAGTTTGGACTTCAGGAACCAGGAGAGAATGCGTACGAGATTTTGAACGGGTTGAAATATGTTCGTCCTGGTCATGGGTTTACGTTGAATCACGATATAAAGTTGCTAGAGAAAACTGAAGTCAACGGGAAAAATGAAAACAAAATGTTCACGTTTCTCAAGGTAATTAATATTAATGAAAATTTACAATATGATTAGTTGAACAGTAGAATAGCGATAATTGGAAAATTTTCCCCCATTAATGTTTTTTTTTTTTCGATTGGGAAATCGGGTTTTGGATTTTAAAATCTAATTTCGGGCAGGCAAATCTAGAATTATAGTTCAATCTACCGAAGAGATTTATAGCAAAAGAAAAATGAAATCCCAAAATTCTTATTTAAATATCAAAGACGAATTTTCCAATAAAAGCGAGTCCGTTTCTTGCGCTCTATAAGGGGTTCCTTCCTGGATATTTTTTAGAGTCAAGGAAGGACATCTCTGAAAATCCCATGTATATTTTACGCTATAAAAAACAGTTTATTTTATTCCCTTTCATAACTGGTTGTTTTTTGACAATTCGCACCAGGTGGTATTTGAACAAGACGTTACATGCGAGCCTGAAAAAACTCGTGAAACATTATGCAGCTTGAAGAAAGACAGACTTATTTATTAACTCTCGAGAAAAATGACAACAATACATTGTGGGATTTCTTGACTGGAATGTTGCGTCCTGATAATGAGCTCGTTAAATTATCCTTGATGATCAATGAACAAGAAGCAAGAAATTGTTTTCCTAAAAAATTGTTCAGTTAGGGGAGAAAAACTGACTTAAATACTGAAAAGAGTTCCTAGGTTTGGATTGACGTTAAAACTTTTATATTTACTCGTAGGAACAACTGGTCTTGTCCACTGTTTCGAAAATTGACTCTTGAATTACTCGGTAAAACATTAGTGCGAAGTGCAGTTACTTGTTGCTTTTTTAATTTTTTTTTTTGGTCATTTAACAACAGTGCGAGAGTCTACCACAATTGCAGATAACGTACAAGCAAAACGGCCACAAAAATATTAGGGGAAAAAAGACAGGATGGTAAAATAAGGATCAGATTATAATCAAGTATTAGCAATGATTTTAGTAACATAACTCTCGGTAGCTCCTGAATGGTAAATGTGTGCCTACATACTTCGCTAGAAGTGTTACTATTCCTTCTATACCCGGGAGAAATTTCATTCTTCGTAAAGCAAATTGGCACTCATAGTCCCCGTGGTACGCAAGTTTGTCACGCTGAAGGTTTACGATAATTCAAACAAGATTCGGCTAGGTCTGGGCAGGTGACACCTGAAACAAAAGTCATGTAGGAGGGGTAAAGTAGACAATTTTTTAATACAAATGTGGTACATTCATTCCCCGTGCGCTGCAAAAGGGAGGCTACCCAAGTAACTGCATCCATCCGACTCCACCGAAGTGCTGCTGAATTTGAGGCCTGCTCTCATTCTCATTATTCCCCAGGCCTTTCCTTTCATTGCTTCTCTCCAACGGAGGCAAAAGGGAGAGAGACTAGCGGAACGTAGTGCTGCAGTTCTTTGAAAACCTGACTATGACGTTGTAGTAACCGTACCGTTGCTTGCTTTCCTCTTTGACAGAACCGATGTCCAGCGCCTGACAACTTTATTGATGATCTCGATAAGATCAAATGGTCGCCAGTCAGAAACGACGATATAACATGGAACTTTGAGAAATTTCTTGTGAACCACAATGGCCAGCCATATCGTCGCTATTCTCCAGTAGTGGAACCCAAAGAAATCACTGAAGACATCGAAAAATTGATAAAGCAATGCACACAAGATTCTTCCTAAGAAAGCTTTTGGGAATGGGATAAAGTCAGCCTCCTCTTGATGTGCCTTGCATGGCTCTTTTCTTGAAATGCACTAAGATCAACCTGTAGAGACTCGCGTATAGTACGGGCTTATCTCGGGGGTCTAGGGGCATGTTCTGTCCAAAAATTGGAAATTTAGAGCCTCTGAAATCACCGGAAACGTGTTTTACTATTTATTTGAGCCCTGAGAAAATTTTGTCATATTTTCATCACCATTCTCTTAGTTTTCTGCACAAAAATGTACATTTAACAAATTAAATTGTGTTTGTTTTTAGCAGAGAGATGAGAAGTATACTTTTGTAAATTCAAAAAAGAAAGAAAGAAATCCCCGCGAAATTATTGTTGGGGTTATAGCTTACCCAGCCTCATAGCTTCGCCTTCCCGTAATCTTTATGTCATCAGACCAAAACGCCGAGTTTTTCTTTACCGAAAAGTGCAATCTCTGCTTCTGCACAGGAGGGGATAAACTTCAAGACGCAACCATTAACTTTAAAACTATTCGTTATAATTTACAACGCTGTAGACCTCTTTAGTTTGTATGTTTTGTTTTCCCAATACCGGTCACGTGATAACACTCTAGGGAACCGTTTCTTTCAGATTTCGTCTTATTCATGTGCATATCTACGCATAATTTATGAAAAGACAATGGGTCAAGTTCCCCTGGGACCTCTATTGGGAAAACAAAACATACAAGCTAAAAAGGTTTTCACTCACGTGACCAGCATCTATGCAAATTTATGGGAACAAAAGAAACTGTTTACATAAGAAAAGAGATCAACTCCCACAGGATTGGTTTGGAACACCAACATGGCCGCCGTGACGTCATGTGAAACCCATTGTTAGACGTATGGCCATGTGGTACTGGTGCCCAAACTTCCGCAGTTTAAAAGAGCACTGGCGAGTCTGGGGCTAAAAGGCTATTCCGTGTTGAATGTCGAATCACTGTGTTAAGAGGAGGCTGACTAATCTATGACTGCACCAGATTTTTTAAATAATATAAAATAATAATGATAATAACGTGATGTATGTGAAGTACAGTCAGAACTCAAGCGAATGATGAGCAGGTCACAAACTGCCATGAACAGCAGATCTGCTTTGATTAGAGTCTTGATACGCTGTGCGGTCTTCAATTCATTCAACCGCAAGCGCATTTGAGACTTACACTTGAGTTTGAACTACCAAAAATAAACCAAGCGACATACCAGTTTATAAAGATATTTCATAAAATTCTTGCTGGTTGGTGACCAGGTGGCCTTGCTGCACTGTCCTGCGCTGCCGTTTTTCGTTTCGCTCGCGCAACGCCCCTCCCTCTTTTTGTAAGTTGTACTCACGGTTCTGCCTGAGATCCCTTTTACAAATAGACTGCGAGCAGTTTCTTTGCAAAGTTACTGCACGAGAAACCCAAGCACGCGAGCGGCGAAGCCGCGATCCCTTATTGTAACATAATGTGGTGGTTTGCAATCGCGCTGGCTGAGATAAGTTCTAGACGGATTTTACTTTATTTTACTAGGGTCCAAACAAATTTTTAAACGGACAAATTTTTTATCTGTGAAACCCGTTAGGAGCAACCCGTTTACATGGAACCTTACACACTTCTGTTACAGATTGCATTTACTTTTGCTGTTCAAACACTTGCACGGTTCCGCGGGTTTGGTGTAAAAGAAAGGCGGATCAGTCTGTGCAAGTTTTGGTCCGTTCAAACGTTTGTCTGGAACCGCGAAAATGGAGTCTAAGTTCAGAAAAAGAAAAATAAGGTTGTTGTCTCGTGTTCAAGTCCTCCGTAGAACTTGAAAATAAGAAGTTTCAGGTGGGAGTCGTGCAACGATGGCAGTGATGCACGTGCAAAGTTGTTGTTTTGGTCATCAACCCCTGTGCTAGGCTGTCAGGTACAGTAGAACCCCGGGCCGATAACCCGAACTTCCCGCTAACTCAAACTAAGTCCAATTTCCCTTGGATTTCACACCACTTTTCAGTCATTTTTACTCGGTTAACTCCGTCGAACTAGGGATAACTCTAATCCCGCGTCGAATTCCCCGTTAACTCGAACTAAATTTCCTTTCGCTTGATCAAAAATTCATGGAAAAATTTTATTTTTATTTATTTTTATTTATTGCCAACCTTCATACATCGTAATAATCTTGTAGTTACAATATATATATATATATATTGTTAAGGCAAAAGGAAACTCAGCAAGCTCTATTGAGCTTTTTTAAGGTTCGCCAATGATTTCTTTACATAGTTGAAAGTTAAAAAAGGTGGCAAATGAACCCCTATAACTCGAATTCTGGTTCTAGTAACCTCACTCGGCTGCCATTGCATTTGCTCTTCTTGTTGTTTAAGGAGGTATAAGGGTAACAACACTAAAACTAACACCGGTCAACACTACAGTAGTTTAATTGACACGTTTCAGCGTTTTATCACAAAAAAATGCGTAATAATGTTACCGTCTCTGATGAAATAAGTTAAACTTGCACTGCACTTTCTTTCTCAAATCAAATTGCCTGAAGATATCAAAAAGACAGCACCAGTTAGTATTCTAATCAATTTTAAAACAAGTCAGATTCATAACTACAGAACAAGATCTGTCTCTAGCGAATCGAACCGATAAAATGTATGCCTTTTTCACCGGTGCCCAAATTTGGAACCTATTCCGATTCAATTAAAATACTAAACGTTCGTCCTTTCGTAAAAAATAAAGGACCGTTTTTGCGGTCAAGAAGATGGAGCAGGCTTATTTGTTTTTAATACTTTAGAACCTCTCTTCGTAATCGTTAATGGCTTAAAACACTGGGTATTGTTGTCTTCACCGGGATTTAGTCCATCTATATATAATTCTTGGGCTTCAGCTCCCCCGCCTCGATTAGTTCATAAGATTTGCGGGTTTAACTTTTCAATAAAATTTGTTGTTGTTGTTGTTGTTGTTGAAGCGTATCTATCAATTTTTAACCTTTGTTTAGTTATTTGTTTCGACTCCGGGAATGGCTTAAAGCACTGGGAGTTGCACCGGGAGAGGGCTAAGGAGTTAACTAAGGAGAGGGCGCGCCCTTAAGTTTAGTTCCCAGTCTACTCGCTGGATTGTGTCTTCCTTCTTTCTTTGAGTAAGTCGATGATCACAACTGATCACAAGATGAACACGGCGGTACAACTCTGGGATGGACAACTTTCTTTAATCAGTACTCCAGTTCCTCATGTTTCATCCCCAGATGAGGTTCTTGTCAAGGTAGCGTTCTCTGGAATATGTGGAACAGATCTTCACATACTCGCAGGCGAGTTTCCGTCTGCCAAGTGCGTGATCTTGGGACATGAATTCGCGGGAGTTGTGAGCGAGATTGGAACCGAAGTAAAAGGCATTTCTGTTGGAGATCGGTGAGAATTATTGAGCGTATAAGTTATTGCAAATCTCCGCGTTCAGTCATTTGTTAACTCTGCGGGCTTTTCTCGCGTTTTCACAGCTTTGATGTTTATTTTTTATACGTCAACATAATAAACACACCTTAAGAGGGTTTGAGGTCTATTGAGGTTTGCTGACATCAAAAACGTAACGAATTCCTTTGGGGAACAAGAAAATAGGATTAACAAGCTAGATAAATTGTGTAAAATTAATAATTTCGAAGGCAGGGATAGGGCTAGGGCTCGAGTAAAATACTTATGACGGCGAATTTTTTTCCGATAATATATTCAAAGAATTGTTATTTTGTCTCTATTATTATCCAGGTGCAAGTCATGTGTACACCGCTAGCATAAATACAGAATTAATGTAATATGTCTTTCCTGACAGAAAAACCTTTCATTTCAACCGAGAAAATTGCATTGCTCTGCTTTCAACCCTAATATTTTCGTTCTTTTGTTTTGAATATTATTGCGTCTGCAGAAAAAAAATACCACACGTGTTTCATAAGAGAGGCTGACTCTATTTGATATTTGATATCAACCCCCCCTTCCCCTCTACGAATGAGATTTCCTCTAAAGCTCTGATGTAGGTGGCTGTGTTGGCACCTTTGATCACTGGAGTATTCTGAGGGGTATGAGAAAATGTTCCTATTTGTGCTGGTGGTGGGGGGTGTTACTACGTCAGTACTTTTGATCTTTTTTTTTTTCTTAGGGGTAAGAGTCAACTTGCCTCATCCATCGGGGATGGAGGGATGTGGCGTTTTAAATGAAATGGCCAAGGATAGCCTTTACCTGTAGCAGCTAATATCACTAGGAAAAAATGAGTTATTGTATTTTTCTTGGTGTCGTCTGTGTTTCAGGGTAGTGATCAACCCAAACAGTAACTGTGGTAGTTGCAAGTTTTGTCAGAAAGGCCAACCACACTTCTGTAAGACTGGCGGCATCCGTTCAAGTGTTGGAATCTGGCTAATGGAGGATGGTCTCAGTATTGCCGGGTTTCTGCAGAAGCTATTCACCTTGTTCCACCTCTGATACCTCTGCGACAGGCTGCTCTTTGTGAGCCGTTCTCTTGCATCGCTCATGGATTTGACCTGTTAATGCCATTAACAACCTCATCGGACATTCTTATCTGTGGTTCAGGAATTATTGGACTTTTATTTGCCTGTTTACTTCACTTTCATGGCTACAGGGAAGTTACTATTAGTGAGGTCTCTGAGAGTCGGAGAAGCCTTGCAGCTGGACTAGACCTGGGCTACCATGTTGTACATCCAGATGTTCTCGTGGATAGGTGTAACGTTGCAAAACTTGATGGCGATGATGGATGGGGATTTGATGCTGTCATTGACTGCACTGGTGTTCCGGCTGCAGTTGAACAAGCCATAAAATGGTTATGTTGTGCTGGAAAGATGATTGTCTTTGGGTGCTGTCCGAAAAATTCGTCAATCAAAATTGATCCTCATGAAGTTTATGCTAAAGAATTGAAAATCATCGGGGCACTTATTAATCCTTTTACTTTTCCTAAAGCTATTCAGTTAGTGAAAGATATGTCTGAGAAGTACTTGAAATATGATAAGCTAGGTATTGCTGTTTTTGATTTGCCAAGCTACCAGTCAGCTCTTGATGCCTTGACTAGAGGTGAGATTTCCAAAGCTGTATTTCAGATGTAAGAGAATACACCAAGTACACCATAAATAAACAAAAAATTAATACACATTGAAATTTGATCATGACATAAACTAAATTTTGTTTTACATGCAGTTTATTTCTTACTCTTTAAATCCTTATGTCAATTTGGTTTTAGAGTTGCTCCTGGCTTAAAGTCATTGTTCCAGTAACATATTTTTTTATCCTAAAAACAATATAAATAAACAAAATTAAAATAGGTGGATAATTAAATTGTCCTGCAGGGTCTTAAGTAGTTTTTTGTGTCTGAGGTTGCATGTGCTTTGACAGAATATTTGAAGGTGACATATGAAGAGAGAAAAGGGCGATGGTCAAACTGTAAGATTTTTTGGTTGGGGGTGGGGGAAGGGCAATTTAATGATATGGTCTCTCTATTTTTAATCGTAGAGTAAACTGGACACACAAATCTTAAATCAATTCAGGCGCGGATCCACACCAGTTTCCACCATATTACAGAAATCAGTCAGATTTTTCATAATAAACATATTTTTGATAGTAATAAAAAAAGCTTTCCCAATGTAAATCTGCAGATTGTCAGGGCTCACCTTGTTCCATCCACTACAACACAAAATTGACCTTGATGAAATAGTAAATCTGCCAAATTGCCGGTAAGGTTTCATCCGGGGAGAATGGAACTGGCCAATATCCTGTCTGAATGACTCAGAAACCCAGAAAAGAAGACTCAAGGGAGTTAAAATCCAACAAATTGCCAGGGAGAGCATGCCCTGGACCCTCTATAAGCTTGCACCTGCAACGCTCATTTAGGAAATCAGTCAGTATTTATCCTAGATCTGTGCCTGCAATTCCAGCCAGTAGTGAAGATATACCAGTACTCCTATTAAGAAAAATACTAAATACTTGAATATAATCCTGGAGCCATGATAGGGAAGCTTTTGCATGCTTATGTTAATTTCAATTTAATTAATTTAATCCATTTTTGCTGTTTACAAATTATAATAAATATACAGAGACAAGTTAGCAGCAAGGAAGGACTGGAAGGGAACCGGAAAACCATACAGGCTAGTCTGCCCAATTTAAAATTGGATTACATTATAAAAAAGAACAAAAAAGAAATTGTCAGAAAAAGTAACACATATAAATAATATTGTTAAATTGCTGTATGATTTCATGCCCAAGTTACACATGGGCGATCAGGATCAAAGCCCCTTATCTTATTCTTATAAAAATCTCTGCAATGTTTTTTGAAGCATGACAGGCTCAGGTTGCACCCAAGCAGCTTCCACAAAAAGTTTTGCTAACCTTGCCACGGACTCCAGATCTGAGAGGTTGCTGGTTAAATAGGCCCTTTGCAGCTGGTCGTTCATGTGCCAGAGTAAATTTTTTGTCTTCTCCCAGTGCATCCCTTGCTCATCAACTGATGGTTTTGTACCACAGGTATGGCAAAGTGCAATTCTAAGGGCCTGATTGGGCAGGTTAAGTTAGCTACTGAATATTTTCAAAAGTGGATGAAGTTTAAGTTTATAAAAGGTGGGTGGAGTTTGGACAATAAGACAACAAAATACCAACTTGCAGATTCTTTTGCAACACACGTCAAATGAAGATAACCTGTTGGAGGGGAAAATGGGTGACAGACAACCCCTTTATAGGTTAGCCTGCAAAGCAGGCATATTTTGCAGTACAAACAATTTGAACATTGAAACTGACAAAGAGTTGGTGCGAGTCAAAAAATAATTTTATTCCATTTGCTTTCATGATGGCGGCTGTGATCAATGTAGCTCTGAGTCACGCTTTTGTTAAAAAAAATGCCTGCTCCAGTGTCAGATCCAGACCTTGAGATAAGTGTGGGGGCCGGTCATCCAGATCCTTAGATAAGGGGGGCCGGGTCTCCGAAAAAAAAAAAAGTTTCAGCCCTTCGGGCCTCACTTTGGTCTAAAACTAGGGGGTGGGGGGCCCTCTGGGCCCCTCCCCTGGATCCGCCACTTTGCCCTGCAGGCTATTTACAGGTCTTTTGAGGGACCTTAAGTTTGGCGGTTGGAAGAGGGGGTGGGGGAAGGCTACAATGGTCTTTACAGCTCTGCCTGAAAGGTTTGGGAAATCCATCATTTTTTAGTGGAAGGTATACAAAAGGGGCCTATGAAAAAAAGGAACACTTCAGGTCAAAAGGGCGGAGCTTCTGTTTGGGGCAAGGGGTGCGGGTTTTGTGACTCAGTCACACTCCCCTTTACCTCTTTCAGATTATATAAAGGTTCCTGGGAACTGCCGTACCTTATTACCCCTCCCCTGACGTAATGTTAACGTTAAGCCACTCCTCACTTGGAGCAAAAATCTGAAAAATGTTGGGTTAAGGGAGGAGGGGTAGATGGGTATTTTACCAGACCATTATACTAATCCACCCTTATAGCTCAAGATTAAATCATTCTACCTTCCATATCCTCCTCTTTCAAACGTAGACTCGAGAAAATATTGACCGTTAGTACGAGCATTGCCAGGTCGATTGTCTTTCTTTTTGGAGCGGGGAGGGGTCATCGGGTTTCGAATGTTTCTCGCCCTAGTCTCTCACGTCCAACAGCATCAACCATGAAGGGCAGAGTATCAAGGGCAAAATAGCAGTGTTGCTCACATGCTCTAAAGTTTTCGCTTTTTTGTTTTTTCTCTTGTCTCTTCTCCAAAATAATGAACAACGCGGTTCAGTTATGGGACGGACATCTTTCTGTGATCACAAGGCCTGTTCCTCATGTTCAAAACCCGACCGATGTTGTCGTTAAAATCACATACTCGGCGGTTTGTGGTACAGATCTGAAGATCCTGGAAGGCAAGTTTCCTTGTGAGAAATCCATTATTATGGGGCATGAATTTGTTGGTGTCGTCAAAGAAGCTGGAAGTGAAGTTAAAAATGTGTCTGTTGGTGATCGGTAAGTGTCCTATACTCATTGATTACTTAAAAGCTCACAGCAATCGTGATACAGTCGATACCCGATAACTCAAACAAGAACTCGAAAAAAGTTCCAATTATCCATATCGGGAGCTTGGAGCAAATACCCAGAAATAAGGAAATGAGATGTGGAAGGAATGCAAGCATCATGCACACTTCACTTCAAGGGTAGCAAGAGTTATACTGATATTTTTTAAAAGGAATATAAAGAGCACATGGTTGTTTTGATAAATGGATCAATGTAGGTTTGTGGGAAACTGCCCAGTTACCCGTTCCTTAAGTCAACATTTTGCCTTAAATGAGTTAGGGGGGGCCAGGCAGGCAGTTTTCCAGAAACCTAACAAAGGGGCAGTGTAACATGCAGACTGTGGACTGACTGGGACTATTGCTTTTAGGGTTAGCAAACTATAACTGTTGTTGTCACCTACTCATTTGCATGGTGAAAACAATAGTCCAAAGTCTGTGTTTTACACTGACCACCTGATAAATTGAATCAATAAATTCAATGGTTCAGACTGCAGTACAATTTTCTTTTGACTTGTCATGCGCTTAAACAAGGTTTGAGTTATTGAGGGTAAAATTATATAGAAAATAATGATCTGTAGGGAAACAAATATTACTTCGAGTTAGCAGGAGGTTTGAGTTATGAAGGGTTCGAGAAATCGAAAGTAAAATTACTGACAGTAAATGCATGGATGAAATCAAGGGGAAATTCTGCGATTTCAAAATGGAAGTAATAATGGAAGTAATAAAGTGGTAATTGAACTTGTGATTTCAAATGGAACTCGTTCGATTTTGAAATCACGTGTATGATTTCAGACCAAATTGCAGTCCACTCAGTTCAATTACCATTATAAACATGTCCAATTTAGTTACACAAGCATTGATTTATAATGGTAATTGAACTGAGTGGAGTGCAATTTGGTCTGAAATCATACGCGTGATTTCAAAATTGCGCAAGTTCGATTTGAAATCAGACCAAAATTGCACGAAACGAAGTTCAATTACCACTTTGTTACTTCCATTTTGAAATTGCAGAATTTAGTCAGTACTAATATTTTATTGACCAAGTAGCCAGTTTGAAATCACTGGCTATGCATGCAATCTGATTGGCTTTCAGCGGGTGTGATTTATTCCTAAATCGCACCATTTTTTTCTCTAATTCGTATCTGTTCCAAATTGCGTCATTCATGTTCTAAATCGCATCATTTCTGTTTTAAATAGCACCATTTTTGTTCTATATCGCATCATTTCTGTTTGGAATACAAAATGAGATGTAAAAGCCTTTTTGTTTCTGCGTATGATTTCAGACCAAATTGCACTCCACTCAGTTCAATTACCATTATAAGAAAAAAAACATGGAGTAGTTCATAATAATTGGTTCCCTTAACCACTAGGTTTATCTCGGGACATGTTGCAAAAATTTCTGATAGACAAACAACTTAAGGATATCATGCAAAAATAATAGCGATTGCAATTGATTACCCTCATTTTCAATCAGCTGTTGTTAATGTAACATAACTCTTAAGCAATGCAAAATTATACAGATCAACTTACAGGGCCAGCCGCAAAACTATTTGATTTTGAAGCCCTGCATAATTCATAATTGCAAGGTTGATTCTGTTTTGTTTATTTGGCAGTGTTGTCATTAACCCCAACACAAGCTGTGGAATGTGTGACAACTGTTCAAAAGGACTACCTCATTTCTGCAAATTTGAAGGCATCAAGGCCACTATTGGGATAAGGCGGAATGGAGGATGGGCCCAATATTGTCGCTTACCAGCTAAGAATACAATTCCATTGCCCCATCAGCTATCTTTTGAGCTTGGTTTGCTGGTTGAACCAATGTCTTGTGTTGTCCATGGATGGGATCGACTGCAGCCAATTTCAGCTGATGCAGAAATCTTAATTTGTGGTGCTGGGTCTGTAGGTCTTCTCTTCATGTGCTTATTGCATTTCCGAGGCTACCGAGAGGTTGTTGTCACAGAGCTGTTAAAAGGACGTCAGAGGATAGCACAAAAGCTCAATTTCGGCTTCCAAGTTGTGCACCCAGAAATTTTGGTTTCTGAAGCTAGAAATGCAAAAAATGAAGGGGATGATGACTGGGGTTTTGACATTGTCATTGATTGTTCAGGAGACCCAAATTCACTCGAACAAGGGATAAAATGGTTGCGTCAAGGTGGTAAATTTCTTCTTTTTGGTATATCACCCTCTGGGTCAGTAGCAAAAATAGATCCCCATGAAGTGTGTCTCAAGGAACTTAAGATAATTGCTTCAAGGATTAATCCTTTTACCTTCACTTCAGCCATGCAAATAATTCAGGACATGGGAGAAAAATACTTGAGCTTTGAAAAATTAGGCATGCGCACATTTCATTTGCAGGAATTTACTGCAGCTTTGGAAATACAACGTAGTGGAGAAATTTCAAAAGCAGTGTTTGAAAATTAAGGGAAATGGAAGTTTTTGCTACAGCTAGTATAACAGAATTAATGATACATGTGTTGGACTCTAGAAGTTCTAATTAATTTTAGTATGTTAACAGAAACAGAGCCTGCACCGTCACTCCTAATTTGAAAAGTAGAGGATTGCACTTTTTTCAAGTTTTATAATAATGTTAATATTAACAATAATAATATCATAATATTTAGACCTTTCTCAAAGAAAACAATTTCATGTACTCTTGAGCTTCAATATTGTGTTTTCAAAACTTAGACTCCCACAAGTTAGTGTGGTTGAGCAACACAAGTCACTTTGACTTAATGGATGACCCAAGCAAAAGGATTAGTCTTTAAAACACATTAATGCTATAAGTGCGTTAACAATTATGTCACTCTATAAAATACTAACTGCTGGCTAAAGGTGTACATTTATTACTATAAACAAGTCCTTGTTAATAAAGTACATGTATGTTAGAGGTACAAGGTAAAGGTCGGTAACTTGTAACAGTACATATTAGACTGACAAACCTAAGGCTGAGGCTGCAATCAGTTTACCCCCCTCTCATCAGCGCTCCATTTTACGGGTATTTAAAGGTAGTTAAAGTTACACGGAAAGGAAAGAAGTCAAAACAAGGATTTTGAGATTACGCCTGGGAATTGAAATTGAGACTTCTCCTGCACAGAAGGCTGTGCACTAACCCAATTTGCTAATCGCTGTTCCTTGTTTTCAGTAACTTTACTAGTTGTTAGTTGTGGATTAATGTTTGTTGCATGATTGGAATCAAAAGTCCAAATTTGAACTGCAGTCTGTTTGTCATGAATAGGTCTTGTGAATGTTTACTCGAAAAGTGGGCAACTGCAGGCGAAATACCGTGAGATTTGAAAAATTCTGCTCAATTCACACAGTAAACACTTTTTTGAGGGAATTAAAGCAGGTATAACAGAACCTGTGCCAAGGTGCCACCCATGACTTACTTTGCATGTAAACATTTGCCTGGTACATGTTGGGGTTCAATTTTATCCTTCATAAAAAATTATATTATAGTTCCATTGTTTTTTTTTTTTTTTTTTGAGGGGGGCGGGGAGCAGGGCTGGTTAAATTGTAATTTTGCAAAAAAAAACTCTTGGAATTTCTTGTGTTCTAATGTTATAAATGCCTAAAATATCACAAATTTCGTTACAGTTATGATTCATTCGTATCAGAACTTTGTGTTGTCCAATTCGGTCTGAAATCTAGCCTCAGAAAACAGCCGACATTTGGCGACGCTACCACTGGTTTCCCTGTCAAAAGAGTCTGAGAAACGAGGGTAGAAAGTCCATACTGATGACGCGTCACTACCCAGATCTGGGTAGTGACGTGTCATCAGTATTGAATTTCAGCGCTCATTTATCAGACGTCATTTGGCGGGGAAACCAGTGGTAGTGTCGCCAAATATCAGCTGTTTTCTCAGGCTATCTGAAATCATAATCTTCATTAAACAAATCAGACTCCCACTAAGCGGTCATCCAATTTTGTTTATCACTCGTATGATTACAGACCGATTTGGACACCACTCAGTCCTATTACCATCATTAAACTGTGGTATTTTTTAGTGATTTATTAGGCAGATTCAGTGAATACAAAGCAGTGAATGCAACTCACACTAGGATTTAGATCTGCACATGTTGATGTGACATTAGCCTATTAATGAGGCCCTGTTGGGGTAAAATTCCAACAAGCAACATGGCCTTGAAAAAGCCAGATAATGAAAGGTGAAATGGTCACAAACAACATAAAGATGCATTAAATACCAACAGCTGACAGGGACATGGCCTACTGCTCAATAAGCGAAATGACAGTATTCGAAAATCAGACAAGGGAAATACTCTTCCCCCCCTGCCCCGCCCAAAAGAAGGGCCTCCTGTCAGGAAGGTTTTAGTACAGTGGTGGGGTTGTGGTGCTGCTGGAATTAAATCTGAAAAATACTTCCCACAGATGGTTGTGAATATTGCATGGCAGCACATGGCTTGCAATTTTAAATGGCTATTTTTTTTCTGTGCTGGCCAGTTTCTCTCACTCTATTATCTCTGAGAGAAATAAGGTGCAACTCGCTGACTTTTACTAGCCCTTAGAGAGAAATGTATAAAGAACAAAAAATATCACAGCTTCATATCATTTGATAAAATGTTTTATTACAGCAACAGTTAAGCAACTGTAAGATCGATTCCATTTTTCCTGTAACAGGTAGCTTTAACTTAAGCTCTTTTAACTAATTGTTGATGTACATTGTTCATGCCCCATCACACTGTATTCCAAGTAACAGTGATACAAAAACTGCAGAATATATACAGACTTGGTAGCAAAAATAAATTATATAAAATCTTTTCCATGTTGGGCAAATAACCCTTAAATAATCAATATTATACAACATGTGTACAGTACTGGTGCGGCTATAATGACACAATTTGTTTACAATTTTGTAGCTCTAATTACAAGATAAAGGACGTTGTTTTTCGCGGTGAACCAGTTCTATGGGAGTTGAAGCTCGCCACCTATTTGCCTGTAAACAGTGATGTATTTCCAAGTACGTGTATTAAAACTAACTCTGACTTCTTCATCTCTATCCCACCTTGAGTAATAAGGTACAGTGAAGTCAGTTCATTGCTTTGCAAACCTGTCTACACTGACATCAGCTCAATCCAGTGTGAGCCAACATTTTTTTAAAGGCTTACTTGCTACTTGTATTTAATTCTACTAACATGCTAGTCATGGAGTATTCAGTGTTATGCGCATTCCATATTTTTAGAATCCATGCTAACATTTGTAAATGATATGAGACAGGACGGTTTGTTGATAATGCACTTTGGTACCTAAGGTACCCTTGTGATCTTGAAATCTACAAGATAGGGACAATTAAAATTAATGTTATTTTCAAATAAGCTATCTCAAGAAAAGTAAAATTTATTATATTTATACATAGTACACTATGGTTGTAAATTAAAGTCTCATTTAATTTCGAAACTTGAAAATTTTTCATGAAAATTTCAATGCAGGTTCTTTATTGTCATGATTACAGGTATGTACAGCTGTACTTTTGTTTAAAATTGAGCTATTTGAAGATCATGGTGTACATGGATGAGTAATTTTTGCGATAAAAGTTAACATTCACAAATCACAACATTCTGACCTCTATGAGGTCATTTTCAAGTTTGACAAAAAAATATAACCAATTTTTTTTTTTTGTTATTTGCCCTTGAAAATGAACTCGCAGAGTTCTTAACGTAGTGAATTCTTTAAGTCTTTATGTTGTACATGTGATCTCGTTTTAACTCTGATTGATGAAAGTTACTTAAAGGTACCTTACTCAGAGTAACAGCCTGCCAAGGATATCGTGTCCAATAGCTCATAGATAGTGGATTTTGCTATCAGGCTAGTGAATTCTGTTCTTAACTTGCCCGACAGGCAAGAAAAGTTGTTTTAGGGAATTCAAATTACAGAAGAACTGCAGTGTTCAATCCTGCTCATCAACAATTTTTTTGGGCTCAGAGTTGAAATGAGCTGTAAAACTGACTTTCTTTGCACCTTGTGTAAGAGTGGATGCATGTCAGTGTTCGGCACTTACTAGCTTTTTGCTTCCTTCTCTGTATCCTGCATAGCAGCATGGTTATGCCCCCACCAACTTGCAGCCCAACCACCAATATAATGAGACATATTCCAGCAAAAAAGCCTTTGTTAATCAGCAGGTCATCTTCAGTCAAATTGTCTAAGGAAGAACGAGATAAAGGTCAAATGAATAGGCACTTGCAACCTACCTGCAAACATCTAACATTTACATAATGTGCTGTTGATAGTGTTATCTTCAAGCATAACATTAAAAATTGTACTAATAAACCTCTTATAGCTTCACCCAGCTGAGTAGTTTAATTATGAGTGACTGGTTTGTTGAGCACAGCACCCTGAGAAATTGCTAATCACATGCATTTTACAAGGAAAACTCACTACTCTGGGCTACTTGCTCAGCAACCATTCACATAAAAATCAACAAACAATGTTATCTCCCCAACACATGTGATCTCAGCAAGATCTCACAATACAATCACCTCAATAAACTCAAGCAATTGCAACAACACTTTGCGAAGAACTGCAAGCAAGCAACTGCGTATATAATGCACCTATCAATGTAAATCCCGTGGGGGGTGAGGGAGTGCGGGCAAGGGGCGGGGATTTGATGCCTGAGACTATCCCGATTAAATCCCGATCCCGCTGTCGGGCTTTTGATTGTGCGAAGCGACCCTGGGATCGGGACATTTGACTTTGACCGACAGAAGCCTGGTATCAATTCAGAAGTGGTTACCAAGTCCATCCCTCGAGGCTTTCTGAAAGTCACGCTGTCGAACAAAGGTATGAAGTTTTCATTTGTTTTAATCACCATAATCTGATAGTTAAAACTGTCATCTAAACAGATAATGTCTATTTTGAGAAAGTTTTTATCTTCAAGTTCCCATCTGATTGTAAAACTCGATTGAAATCAAATTCCACCATGAAAGTCTGAGGATTTTTAACGGGTCACTGATCCGACCTGTTCCGACATGTTGAGCAGATGTTATAAAGCATTTTACGTTTCATTAATATTATAATAGCACGGTCAATCTTCCTGGAGTGATTTTGTTGTTCAAAATAAGAGATGCTAGTGGAGAGAGAAAATACTTAATTACACCGAGTAACTTAACGGAGCTTACGTTAACCTTAAATAAAAGTAGTAAGAACGTACTATTGAAATGTTCTTTTATTCATTTTATATGGTATTATAGTATTGTTTGTTTAGATTTTTTCCCCTAGGGTGGGGGCTTTTTTGACACTTTTGCTTGACCTTTCGTTTTCCACCCTGGGGAATTTGATCAAAAAATTTTAAAATTTGTCAAATCCCCACCCCTTGCCCGCACTCCCCCCCGGGGGTTTACATTGATAGGTGCATAAGTCACGAGGTGCCCATGCTAGAGGCATCGGGCCACCCCTACTATAGCTAGGGAAACAGCTGACCGGCATTGCTTCGAGGTTAACTTTGCCTAAATTACATTTAGCCACATTTAAATCATTATTCAAAGCATCAAGCAGGGCTGTCTTCTAGCAGTCATAACTGCTGGCCTCAGGCAACTAATAGTTTTTGCTTTTGAACAACAAGAAAAGTTTCCTTGCTCTTTCAAAAATGGAAATTAACTAAGGATACTGGATTCCCAGGCTCATTGTAGACAACTCAGATCTTTGAACCACACCTAGCTATTAATTTTGCCATTTTTCTCAGAGCAAATCTTAACCACTGAGAATTCTATGTTTGTAAGTTGAAGGACCAAAGATATGTAGCCTTATTAATATGAATAAGTACCTGGCTCTCCTTTAGTTGTAACAGTAGAACCTACATGTAAAAAAGTAAACAAAAAATTTTGAGATTAAAATGGACCGACAAAAAATGCCAAAAACCTACAATAAGCCAATCCCATATTATTAGTGATTTTAGGCTAAAAATGCTGGTCCAACCAGAGCATTCTAACTAACTAACAATGTACCTTTAGTATTACTGTCAAAATTGATCGGAACACTGTGAACATCTGATTGAAATATTCAAGGACTGCTGATTGTTTTAGCCACAAATCTCAAAAAAGATCAGAACCTATCGGCAGACTTCATGCTTGCAGTTAAGTTTTCTTACACCTGATTGGTGACTTTCCTTGCAATACATGCCAGAAATACAAAGTAATGGGTTTATAACAGTTCTCTAAATTTCCTAGTAAATAAAACACCTGATCCTCTATACTACAGACAAGTACACTGCGCTGTACCTACATGAACATTTGCAATTGCTACTCACATTTGCCCCTGCAGCCCAACACTTGAGAAGCTTTTGTTGTGCAGGCTCTTTCAGCATCACCAATGCAAGGTAATCCACCATTCTCTGGATAAGGACTGTTACATTTGCGACTCTGAAGGCCGCCACCTGTACACTCACTCCAGTCAGACCAACCACCATGCACAACTACAGAAAATACCCAACATTACAATCCCTTAATTATGTACAATTATACAACAGAAGAACAGAGAATTACCGTATTTATTCGAATAAGCGCCCAACCTCAAATTAGCGCCCACCTCGAATAAGCACCCACCCCACCTCACCTCTCTCCCACTCCCACTTAAACTCAAATAAGTGACCACCCCCACCCCACCCCCCAAAAATTGAATAAGTACTAATAAGAGACTTCCCTGAAGACAGAGTTTCCTTCAAAGTATTTTACAGGAACCTTGCTTTGTTACATCTTCGCGTTTTGTCATTACCATTAATTTTATTGTTTTGTTGCAAAATAAACATACTACACTTGCTGAAAATGCTGAAAATTTAATAAGCGCCCTGCCCCGAATAAGCGCCCAACTCGAATAAGCGCCCACTCTCAAGGTCCAAAAATTTAATAAGTGCCCAGGGCAGTTAATCGAATAAATACGGTAAGTTAAAAAAGGGATTGGAACTGAATGGAAAAATTATTTTACATACGCCTGGATCCCTGATTTTGTCATTTTTCTCGCTTTTACACCAGCTTTATTTGTTGTTTTTGAATTGGTGAAGGGTGCAAGTACCTGAGATTCTGGCACATAATTTTTCAGGGGTGTTTCAGTGATTTTGTTTTATTACCTCTGAATCCTGCATCCCTCATGCATAAAAATTCCCAAAGATGCAAAATAATTCACTGGATGTGTCTGTAGTACACAAAGATCAAGCAATCTGAAGATGTTTCTGTAGAGAATCCTGTTCATGTGATTTCTGTGGCTGTTAATGTGGTTGTTGTTTAACGACTGCAGATACATGTTTATTCTAGTCCCCTCATTTTTTTTGTTTAAATTAAGAAGGACTATATTTTAATTTCAGTAAACTGTGATAAAGAGTTTTGGTGTCTGTCTTCAGATTCAGTAACTGCCTCAATGGCTCCGGACTGGGACTCATGATTTTTCACAAGATGAGTCCCAGGACTCACCATAACTATTTCTAACAAAATAACTGGGTGATTACAAATTAAATTTTGTGTCAAGCACTCGACCCATCATTTTTATGGTTGAGCCAGCAGCACCCAGCATAGCAAAAATTGATTTGGTTCAAAGCCAAACCAGCCAAAGTTTCAGAACCTGACAAATCCATTTCCTTCTGCAACGACTGGCACAGTCGTGGCAGATTATAATATTATTACTGAGAAAAGAAACAAAAGAATAAAACAATACAACTTAACTTTTTGGCTATTTTGCTAATTGTTTTTGTTTTAATATTCTATGCCACAACAAGCAGAAAGGATTCATTTATAGGGACCCAACAAGCCCAACCCCATCAAGTGCTTTACTCTAGAACAACAACAGAACATGGGAGAAGTTCTTCCGGAGATATCTTGCCCAAAATGCAGTTCTTAGTACACTTTTTTTTAATACTAACATTCTTAATCTTTTAACTCCTCTTTACTTTGTTTGCTTGCATGTGCATATTAATTTATAACACTGTTTACACACATAAGCTGAATATTCCACTGAAAAATTCAACTTGCAAGCAACAAAAATGTTCCTACAATTTACCTTTATTTCCATGGGGGCACTTAGGGTCATTCCCCTCCTTGCACACATAAATTTTCATTTTCATCTGGTTGTCTTTGCAACGTCCGCCTTCCAAGTTTGTTAATGAGGTAATTAATCCAGATGCTGTATCTGTAAATGAGATGATACAGTTCATATTTTAAACTGAGTTACAGTGATCTCTGTGTACTATATGTAAAAGTTGCTTATTTTAATTTAATAAATTACATAATCAAAATGTTACATGTAGTCATTACAGATGAATCTGTTTGGTCATGGAAGGGTCACAGCAAAGTGTCAACATTTGAGAAGGTTCCAATTCATTTAGGGTCACCTTATTTAGCTTAATAATATCACTTTTAACTACTGACAGTTTTAAGTGTTTTGATATTTTATCAGAAGCAACACTAAATATTGTATTTGTCAGTCACATACACAATACAGTATTATTTGAAATAAAACAAACAGCAATGCAACGCTGCACATAAACACACTGTCCCTTTTCTTCTCTGATCTTTGGTTACAATGTTATTGTATTTTATTTTAAGGTTGAAATCTAACCATAAACAGGAAATTGTATCATTTTCATACACATAACTATCATCACCTGGTAACTGTAAAAATGTCAGAGCGCAAAATTGCACAAGCCCATTTGAGCTTTTTGGAAAACACAGGAATTTTTGCAAATAAATTGTTTAATTAACAATTATTCTTTGAAATCGAGGTAAATAGTAGCTAAATATTCCCAAAGCCACTATTCACCGAGATTGAAAAGAATAATTAACTGTTTTAGTATATACACACCAAGTGATCTCAACAAAATCAGAGAGGAAACCATTCAAAACTACGATTTGATTGACAGATCAAATCACGCGTAAGTTTAACAAATAGATTCCATGTTGCCGTGCGTGTGTTCAGTAATAGATCACAGATGACGTCAAAATGTCGTAAAAACGAAGAAGTGGCACACGAGCCGCAGGCGAGTGTGTCACTGTTGTTTTTACCACATTTTGACGTCCTCTGTGATCTATTACTGAATAGACCAACGGCAACATGGAATCTATTTGTTTTATACAACGATCAGAAAAGAAAAAGACCGAACACATACCTGCCTCGAACCGCTTGACCTTTTGACGATTTGTGCTAGTTTAGGCATTTTTTAAGTCCCAAACCCAACTTTTCATCTTAGCTTCTTCTTTATCTTACTTGTGTACAGTTTCTTCGAAAAGTTTTTCACCGTCTTTTCTTGCTCAAAGAAGAATAATAGCGAAAACATTTTGCAAAACAGCGAGTCTCTCGTAGCGAAGACACACGATGGCAACTGTTGTGAAGATTTCTTGTAGTTTAGGCATTGTCAAGTAGTCAATAGCCTTTTTGGTCTCCGTTTCTCCATTTTTCTTCTTTGTAAATAGCTCCTGCTAAACTTTTTCCGTAGCTTTCACTTGCCTCAATCCGAAATAATCTCACAAACATTTTCAAAACCGCGTGCCATGTTGAACAAAACAAACAAAACAAGTTTTCCGTGACGTCATCCATGTATCTGTACTCTAATAGATCATGGGCAACGACCAATCACAGCGCGCGTAGCATTCACATCATTCTAAAAAAATAGATCCTTGCAGAATTTTCAAACATGGCAATTCACAAGTTTATCATTTCGCAAACAACGGCGTAATGGCTTAAATGGAACCGCTAAAAGTTTGAACTGTTTCCTTACCTGAGAAGAAAAGTAGAGCTTTGTTATTTTCTGTTGACTCGCCAAGTTTATAGCCAAAAGGGTTTGTTGTGTCGTTCTTCGCATGAAGTGCTGACAAAAATGGCGGCTCGGTTGCTCGAGGTAAGTAAGTAAGTAAGTAAGTAAGTAAGTAATTTTATTTAACCACATATCGCAAATGAGCGATAGCTCGTTTAAATGCAAATGTGCCATAAAAATTACAACGTGATAATTTACATAATCTACATGTACAAGTAATGAATAAAAATAAAAAATAGAAAAATTAAACCAACTAAAAGATAATAATAATTTAAAAAGAAAAAATATTGGTAATCAGATTGTCTGTTTACAAAATTCACAGTTGCAGTCATACGATGAAGACAACTGTATGTTTTGTAAGTTTTTCCTAAAGATAGAGAGGGACTCCGACATCCTTATTTTGTCTGGTAGACTGTTCCATTGTTTGCCAGCCTGGTACGTGAAAGAATGTTGCATATAAGATGAGGTCGGTCTTGGAAGAACAACCTTAAGATGGCCCCGTAGGCTGTAACCATTGCTTCGCAGTAAAAACATTTCCCGAATGTAGTTCGGTGCCTGGTTATAAATGCTATTGTATACAAGTATCAGTGCTTGTTCTATGCGTCGATGTTCCAAGCTTTTGATATGTACAGTTTTAAGTAGCTCTTCATAAGCAGTCGACTTGGAGTAGTTAAGAAGAGTCCTAAGAGCAAATGCATTGGTTGACTCCAGTTTTGCAGACAAACCTTTACTTAGACCTATGAACAATGGTGATGCGTATTCAAAGTGAGGCAGAATAAATGCTTTGTACAGTAAGACGTCGTCTTCCTATATCATTTTTTTTCCTGTTTACTTGAAACGTAGAATTTCTGCAAATATTTCCTTTTACATTAGTTTGTCATAAATAAACTTCGATTTCTGAGCCAAAATTTTCTTGTTCGAAAACGCTTAGTTCACCAAACGGCTTCTACGCGAATACACTGGAGTTGTAAACAATCCATCGAGCACAAAACTCAGCTACAGTAAATTGAAAAACGCCGTATTGAATCCTTCCAAGTCTTTTCTTGCCTTAAAAAAAGTCAGCCCTAGGATTTTGTCGACTTTTAAAAGATCGTTCTCTAAACAAATGGGAAAAACACCGAGCTCACACATTATCCACTCGCTAAAAAGGTGAATATTGTTGCATAGTCCGAGATAGTGAACCAATCAGATTGCTTAAATCACCAAGATCACTGAGTGTGTATATACTAAGTATGATTACCCTTAACAACTGCATACATGAAAAATTTTCTAGATCACAGTTCATCCCCAAAACACTTTCTCACAAATCATCACAAACCAACCCAGTGTCACACACAACCTTAATAAAGTGGCCAATAAAGATTGTGGCACCTGATTGGTTCTTACAGTGTATTCCTATTCTTTATTAGCCAATCACAGTGTTCTATTCTGTGAGACATTTGCTTTATTAATTTTCCTTTTTGCGTTATATTTTGTTGATTTTGCATTGTGTTTACTAAAAAATCCATTGCTCTTGTAAGCCAATCAGATTCATGAAATTTGTTCATGTATATTATATTGAGCTGAAGAAATATGTCTACCAGGTCATTGAAGACTGCCAAACACTTACTTATGAAGTAGTACTCTTCTCCTTCCACAAATTTAGGGTCATTTTCATTTGCACTCTGTGGTTGAAACACAACTGTTACATGTCTTCCTCGCACATCAGGATTATCACAGGACAAAAGTTTAAGTCCCAAGGTTGCATTGCAGCTGTCAAAACCTTTTTTATCAACCATAAACAAATTTTCATAAAGTTGGTCTTTGGGATAAACATTGTCTCTTTCAGTGGGATAGTCCATCAAGTTCGGACACCTTAGTGTGAGTTTGTCAAATAGCAAAACCTTCCTTGCATTATTGTTAAGGTGGCTAAACCTAAAAGAGAAAAATACAAAAGCATGTTTCATCAGTTCGGATGTTTGCGATTCCATGTACAGAAAGAAAAATAAAGTGAGATCAAGAAAACTTGTCACTCAAGAACTTAATCAATTTTGTCACAGTTTTTTAGGCAACAAACACTGTTTATGGTTGACCAAGTAAGTTTAATTAAGCTTTATGTTTTCAGTAACATTCATGTGATAAAAGTTATGACTTAAAAGTTATGCATCTGTCAATTCCACCTGCGCCCAGTAGTTATATTCTTATAGGAAACCGCGTGCGTGTCAAAAGCTTGGGAGTGGCCCCGGGGTTGGCAAATGCCCAGCCCCTGGGCAGTGTAAAATTTCAAATGCCCCATCCCCGGGACTGACAAGGCGTGCAAATGCCCTGCAGTAACCTGGGGGCTGGGCGCAGGTGGAATTGATTGATGCATTAAGGCTCATATAAGCTTACGTGTTTGCTTTTAGAACATGCACAAACATTCCGCTCAGTCTTGAAAGCACTGGGCAGTTTGTTAATAAAACATTGTTTGCTAATAAAACATAGCAATAAAGTAAATAGCAAAAACGTTTCCATTCTTGTGGATGAAAATTTAAGAGAAGCAGTTTCCTTTAAAGAGAAAAAACGCAGCTCAGTTTCACTCCACGTGGCTTTTACTTCGGGTAGAAGAGCACAGAACACGTCATCAAAATGGAATGGCCAAAAGAGTAACATTATCGTTAATTTATGACAAATGTATGCAACAGTAGTCGTAATAAAGACAAACGTATGCATTGACATGAAAACACTACAATGTCTTGTAACGGTAGAATCGAGTACTTTTAGTTGCTAAGAGAAGAGCTTTTTGGAATTTTGAAAATGCAAATTATGTGTTTTGCATCGCTCTGCGAGACTGTTCCACAAGTGTTGTCTCAAAATGTTTTCAGTGTCTGAAAAGGCCAAACCGGACAATATGTAAGACGATATCGTGATTTGCAGTTCTCGTGTCATTCCGGTTAAATGTGACAATACAAATGGTTATGAATATCTGTCTACGTCAAGTAGTTGTTTCAGAACTCCATAATCATGAGCAATTATCTCATGATTGTGCAACTGACAACGATATACCCGGCTCACTAGCATAACACAGGAGCACCCAACGGCAATTTTCGGGAAAATATCTGTTCGGAAGACGATTTGAGATCTAGAATTTTCGGAGCATTTGTTGTAAAATTTCTTGCTTGCCTGCCTCTCCTAGGATTTTCGAACATCTACAAAATGGTATAATTACCCATTTTTAACGCATTTTGACCCTAAAAAAGGCCACCTAGAATTTTCGGGAGCCTTTTCCTGGCTGAAATTTTCGAGAAGGTAAGTTTTTATCCCTATGATTTTCGGATCACTAGATTTTCAGCTAGGAAATCCGAACAGATGAAAAGTTTTTAGGGGATAAAAATATGCCTATATCTACCGTTTGAATACTAAAATATGGTCAACAATGCTATGTTAAGTGGTTTTGAACTATATCCTCGTTGGGTGCTCCTGATAACAGGACATGTCAGGCCATACAGTCGACGGGGATTATTCCTATCGGTCTTTCCATCTTAATCTTTCCACCCGACGACCCTAAGGAAGCTGTTTTTCCTGAACATGCTTGTCTTGAGCATTTGAGGAAGCCTTTAAGAGCAGTTGTCTGTAAGATTCGAGCTATATTAAAAAGGCGCTGCCACACTATCTCACCGAATTGGCTAAAAATTGGCATGTAGACTTGATTTGAGGTCTTTAATAAGGAATAGGTAACTTTAGGTTCTAATTCCTCCTACTTCGGAAATTATCGACATGGCCGGTTTTTGGGTGCCTCGGACCGGCGCCATATTGGTTAATAGAAGCTGCTTTTGCGCCTTCGACTACAACCCTGTCTTCAAAGCTAATCTTCCTTTGCCAATACAGATTGAAAGAACAATCCCTCTTTATTGTATTTTTAGAAACTACTTCGAAATTGATAACGTTTTCGCAACGATCGATTAAACTTTTGGTGGGTATACTTTTTGAATTTTTTACACCCGAAAAATTAACAGAATTTTAAAGGCGTATATCTCTTTTGCCACATCGCATTGAAGCTTGCCAATCTGCCTGAATACTCACTGTTTGTAGTTAAATCGAGTTCGTTAATAAAAAAATTGGACAAATTTAACGGAGCAGAAACAAAAGTAATGAAAGGAAGACTGTCCTAGCGACTTTGTCAATATATCTGTACACCGAATACTCGCCAGGTGTTGCCAAAATTACAATCGATAATAGAGTTTCTGTCATTAAATCTGAGTGATCTGTGTAATAAAATTAGCCTCTGTAATATAATCGATAACTCTGCTGCGAAAAACAGTATAAAAAAAGGCAGATTGTATAAGGAAAAGGAAAATGAATTTGTTATGTTTATGCTATGACCCGTAAACAAAATTCAACCATCACAGTCGAACTGGAATTTTCCTGATTTTCCTCCAGTTCCTTTACCGAAACCAGAGCTTTTAAAATTAACCATAGTAATGAAAATTGAGATGTATTACCTTACTCGACGACAAAGTTGCCAGTTTCCACCTTGATCGAAAAAAAGTAATATTTTCCCACGCATATCGCGGGTCGTCACGTTCCTTGCCTGGCGTTACAACTCACGTGAAACCGTCTGGTTTCAAACAACTGAACTGAAGAATCCGTGAAAATCTTAGCCAGGCAATAAATAATGGAAGTTGATATAAGTTATCATTATTAGTGAGCGAGGATCGATGCGATGATAGTTCCAGCTACATGTGTTTACAGCGTTTGAAGATTTACTCAAAACTCATGAGACATGAGCCCTTGAAATAAACATCATTACTTCCGGTTTTAAAAAATGGGAGTTGGCAAAGTAATGAATAGACTCATTCTACCTTGTACACCGTTAACAACGGTTCCGTGTACAATTTTCAGGTATTTTGTCTCAATCACGAAGCCCGTTTTGAGGAGATTCTTGATAAAAAGAAAAATTGATTTGGAAGGGGTTAAGAAGAATGAGGGATGAGCCCGGGACAGCAAAAACCACAGTCACCCCACCGAAGGCCTTTAAAACTGTGCGCAAATGCCTCACCCTAGGGACAATTCCAGATTTTTGTTTCCTTGAAAAAGCTTAAAATCGCTAGACAATGCATGGACAACTCCTGACAGTCCTAATTCAAAATAAAGTAAACAGCAAAGAAAATTCAGTTAGAGACCAGAGTGTTTATCCGATATCGCGAACAATAAAGAGTGATTGAAGATGTGTCCGCAGTTTAAGGTAAAATCATTTACCATGCTCACGGACCTTTCGACAACATAAGTGTACCGATTGACGTAATATCAGTGGTAAAAAACGAACGCTTTTTACTGTAGGACGATGACGTCATCATACAAAAGGCGTCTTCACTCTGGTATCCAGAATTTCAAACAGTCAAAACCTAGTAATTTTCTCTGCTCGTCAAATGAAAAACGCCTCTTAGGGCAAGTAGTGGTAATGTGCTTGTTAGTAAGACGTCCAACATAAGGAGACATTCATAATCAACTCGGTTAATGCATTGATAAAGGGAAACTTTCTCCTTTACCCTTAGGGACAGAGTTCAAAGGCGCAAAAGATTTTTAGTTCAGCTCTAGCATGTGTTGTCTAGCGATTTGCCTTGAGCTTCTCTAAATTTTCCAGATTAAACAAGCTGTGCCCATCGTACATAATCTTGTCTGGGCTCCCCTTGAAAAATTGCAATTCATCAGATGCCTTCAAGTTCATCCTCCGCCGCGACAACTTTGTGATCTGTTTTAATGGGTGGTTTTCTGGAACTATCCTATGGCTTGTCCTTTCTGGTCGTCACTATATTAGCGAACATGTTTCAATTTCTCTCCAGCAAAAGTCTCTATCAGGAGCGTAGCCAGGACATTCCAGGTGTGCGGAAAATTTCCAAAACTTACCCTAACATCTTACTCAGTTCTCTCGCAACGTTTCCCCACTACATTTGCTAATTCTGTTAACTAGGTGAGGTTATACGTGGATGAAATGGCACTTGCAATCGGTGAGAAAATTAGGTTAGACACTTTACCCTCAAGGACGACTCTCACGTTTTGCTGACACTTTCTACCTTAGAAGAGATAAGTGAAGCTTTGCCTTCCCCACTCCGTGTAAAAAAATGTTCGGCTGTTCAAACTACTTTTAGAAGACAACAAACTTCCCAACTTTTATTTTTAATAAAGGTATAATGGTAGGAATCCAAATTGTTTTGGAGTATTTCACTGATTTTAACACGATGATTGTAAAGTAGTGTCTAGTGAGTACGGGGGCTAATGACCCATCGTAAAAATCTGAAATTGAAAACAAAAATCTTGTATAACCGAGTAGTACACAATTTTAGTTATTTTATTGAGTTGTGAAAAATCACAAATTTGTTTCTTCTTGAATGTGTTATACTCTCATCCATTCAGTCTTTCCCATATGCCCGTCGGATAGCGGAAGTTAACGTAAATGATCGATTACCTGAAAAGAAGCTACCATCCTAACTTTCCACCTTCGGGTCTTTTCCCTAGCCATAATTTTTTTCCCTCAAGGACTTTTTCTCTGTTTTACATAATAATTGGTCTTGCATTCAGCTTATTGATTTTGAGAGCCTAGTCCTATGCCGTATTCTGATGCGATCTACTTTATGTAGCTTTCCCCCCATCTAACAGCTCCTTACTGAACAAAAACGGCTTTAATTGAGTCTATTCAAAGAACTAGCCAACATTTTTGCAGGGATAAGCACAATTTTCCTAATTCCCCCTAGTCCCCTTCTTAGACGCTTTCATGTGCATCAGGTGTTAAATTTTCTTTTCATAAGCTACAATGCTCATAATCGCGCATTCTGATGTCATTTATGCTTAAAAAATTAAAAATTAGTTTATCGAAGTAAGAGTGAATTAAAGGTGTCATGAGGCGTTTGTGATTTCATGAACTATTTGACGCGTTCCTTTTCTTACGGCTTATGTC